AGCGTGAAATCGCTGATGAAGCTACAGGGACTCTAATGGAATTATCCTCCTCTACTCCCCTATATAAGAATACCAAAGCATAGCCATTTCTTCACCAAATTTTGCAATTCTTCCATCTATTCTATTGGCCTGAGTGAGGAGAACACATTGGTGCTACCAATTCAGTAAGAGGTTGCTGGAGTTGAGATCTATCGCCGCCGGAAGTTTTGCCGAAAAATTTCCAAATAAAACCTCCGTTAAGCTTCGAGGTAACCCCGTAGATATATCTAATGACTAGAATATTCATATAGGTCGCTTCTACGTTCATAAATGATCATTTGGTTGAGTTTTGTGTTTGACATGCTTGAAGAACTAAGAATCATAAACCATGAATTTGATGTCAAAACTATGAACTAATGATGCCAAAATGATCTATAAACCTTGGGGAACACTTTTATATACTTTAATTGAAGTTTGGTGATAAAAAATGACATTTACGAAAAATGGGTCGAGGAAGAAGACGATAAATAATTTATTATTAACTTAAAAATCGACTATTCATCGTTCTGTAAATTTTTGAACACAGCAACACAATAATCGATTGTCACATTCTGACAATCAATTGTCAGTCTTCTCTGAAAATGAACTGAAAGCAGATAATCGATTATCACCATGTTCTGGAAGTCAGATAATCGATTATCACCTAGGATAATTGATTATCTCCCTACTTTGCTGAAGGAAATGAAGTCAGTAGCTATTAATCAATTTTCCTATCATATATTAATCGAATATTGTTCAGAAAACATGATTTTTGAACTATGAAATCCTATTTTTGGATACCAATCAATTATTATCAATATGAATATGATTTTTAGACATAGAAATGATGTTTTTGACAAATAAAATCTTATGTGATGAATGACAGTAAGCTAGGGTGTTAACATTCGAAGCTAGGCCGCTATTTGCTATTGGATGATATATGTTGATTGATGATTATGATGAATGATGATTTTGATTTGATGAACCCACTTATTGTGATGATTAAACATTGATGAATACTCTGACTAAAATAATAATTATGAATGATTAAATCATAATTAATATATTAATGATTGTGAAAATAATATGTATAGTTAAGAGTATCTATAATAACTCTAAGATATACTCATATTAATGTTGATTTGAAGGTCATCTAGAAGAACTCTAAGATATACCCCAAATGACCATTTTAGTTAATTGATATTGATTTTAATGGTATCTAGAATAACTCTAAGATATACCATAATGATGTTGATTTTGAAGAACTCTAAGATATACCCATTTAAGTTAGGCCTTGTAGGTATGATGCCCGGTGGCCAGGGTTAAAACGTACATACGGGATCCAAGAACCAAACTTGAGTACCTACTCGTTTGGGGTACCACCCAACCCAACAGTGAACATTATGCTTTCAGTTTCTGGATAACCTTAAGTGAAGGTAAGTGTAAGAATTTGAAAACCTCTTTTTGAAAATTTGTATCTTAAACTACGTCTAGCTTAAGGGTTAGTTAGGAGTGCCTTAAACTTGAATATAGTTTAAGAAACTTACACTAGAATTCATTTGAAAGTTGGTAAACATTAAAGAGATTGGCCTTAAACTAAGCATAGTTTAAGGATATTGTAGAATGATGATGTTGAATGTTGAATATGAATATTGAATAATGATGTTGAATATGAATATTGAATGTTGAATATTGAATGATGAATATTGAATATTGATTATTGAATATCTGAACTGGACATTTTTTGCATGATATCAAATGATTTGATTATGAATTGAGATTCAATTTTTATGGATGTTCGACGCATTAGATATGCTTACTGAGCTTCAACGCTGAGCGTGTAGTATGTTTTATTTGCTACACACAGGTTATTAGAAAGAATGATGTGACGTGATCCTGAGGCAGGCGAAGGCGAGAGTGTCGGAAGGGATGTGATGGTTTTGAATTGAAAAACATAAATAAATCATGTTTGTGATTATAATTTGTTAAGTTTCCGCAATATTGAAAACTCTGTACTGTTATGTTATGAAAAATATTATTGTGATAAATAAAAGTGATTGAAATGTTTTAAAATTTTACGATTACCAAGTTAATACTTTATTCCAAAAGGGGCTACAGACTTGGACGGATTAAAGTGTTAAAATTTTACGATTACCAAGTTAATACTTTATTCCAAAAGGGGCTACAGACTTGGACGGATTAAAGTGTTACAGGAGACACTTTCGGCTCGGCTGTAGACCTGGACGGATTGGGCTCGTGGTTATTTAACGTCACCCTATAGTTTCTTAATCCAGTGCAGATGTAGAATATAAAGGTGATGCAAATGGTGTTTCAAAAACTCTGTGGCTTCGCAACCTTCTTCTTGAGCTTCATGTTCTAGTTATAAAGCGACCATAATTTATTTTGTCAATGTTTCCATAGTTTATCTTTCAGAGAATCTTGTTCAACATCAGAGCACAAAACTCGTGGAAATTGATATTCACTTTGTCTGCGAAAATGTTAGACTTAGACATGTTCATGTTTTTCATGTTCCATCAGTATTTTAGTATGCTGACATCTTTAAGAAAGGCATGGCTAGAAATATTGTTTCAAAGTTTAAGATCCATTTTGAGTGTTTGTCCCCAAATTGCTCAAACTAAGGGGGTATATTAGTCAATATTTTATGTAATCATTTGGTATATGTTCTCCTTTGATGTATCTTTAACCCTATATATAGGGCTATCAGTTGAGGGAATAAACAGAGATTTACTAATTCAGAAATCCTTTATTGCTATTTTCGTATTTTCTCTATGTTTTACTCCTAATTTAATCTTTTCTCTCTTGGAAAATAAAACTCAAATTTAAGAAAATTATCTCTTAATACAGCTAAGTCATGGCATGTGCACTCCCTTCCCAACCGGCATTGATATATGTAAACAACATGTCAAGTGAGGCAAAAACAATCCAACTCTGGTTCCCTTTACTATCTCGGAAAGGTTGAACATGTTTATCACCTACACGTGCTTCAATATGTGTTCCATTTAGAGCTCTTAATAATCCTTAAAGAAAAGAATTAAACATTATATCAAAACATATTATGATCATACATTATGAAAAAGGGAAAAATGACATTTAAAAGTTATTAGATAACTAAATAATATTTTTTAGTGATCACTAAAATACCTTAAAAAGGGCTAATTAAAAACTAAAATTTATTATTATCATCATTATTATAAGAATAATATGAAAAATACACTCTGACATTTTTTAAGTCATTATTAGACGAAACTAGAATATGTTAGAAGAAACTAGAAAGAGATGGATGAAACAGGAAGCAGTTGGAATAAATTAGAAAGAATTGCAAAAAAAACCCGAAAGAAATTGGAATACAATAGAAGAAGCTGTAAGAAACATGAGGGAGTTGAAAGAAACTCGAAAAGTTGAAATACATAGAGTAACTATTTATTTCTACACCCTTCGTTTATCGTTTTTGTATAATATATATTTCAACATTTTTTCATTATTTCCCAATAATTTCCAACTTCTAGTCTTTTCAACTTTTTCCATTTTCTTCGAGTTCCTTTTAGTTTTTTTAAACCAGTTTTTTTCTAGTTTATTTTGATATTTTAAAATATCTTTCTATTTTTCTAGTGTCTTCCAATTTTTATAATTTCTTTCCATTTTTTATATTTAATTCTAATTTTTTCTAGTTTCTCCCGATTCTTTAAAATAACTTTCTTTTTTAACCCTAAAGAACATCCCTTATATGGAGTAATAGCATATAATCATATACGAAGTAAAATGCTGAGTTGGTATATGGTACATCCGGATGTACCTAGAAATAGATACATCCCGGTAGTACTCATTCTGAAATAAAATAGTACTTATTCTTGTACAAATATAAACATTCATTTCGAAATACGTAATACTCATTCTGGCAAAAGTAGTACTCATTTTAAAATAAAGAAGTACTCATTTTTACACATTTGTCTAATATAATTATAATAAATAGCGTAGTGTTCATTCTTAAAAAAACAATATTCATTCTCAAGTAAGGAAATGTTCATTCTGAAATAAAGTATTGTTCAATTTTTTACAATTAAAAAGTTCAGTACCATCATCAACTTCTTCCTCTATTCGATTCGTTCCTATTCATTTATACTCTCTGAGCATGGAGAATTTAAAACTCAAGTTTATTTATGTTTGTATTGAATAAGAATATGATAATTCTTATAAGTGCTGGTACTCCTTCTCAAATCTGTTGGTACTCATTGTCATATATAATAGTTCTCATATATGTTCTGGGCATTGGATAAAAAGTTTGCAAAATTTACAAAAATATCAGGTTGTACCTAAAGGTAGGTACAGCTGGATGTACCATATAATTTTCCTAAAATGCTAGGGTGACTTGAAAGATACGGAGTAATTTGAGATGGATTAAGTTATTTGTAAACTAAAATTTGTACCTCATTTTGTATTTCAAAGACATGTACCGAAATTTTGTGCTAGTGTGATGATTTACATTGACAAAAAATATCAGTACAATTTTTTTTAGTTAAACTAACATTGTGTATCAGTATAAACCATTAAAATATTAGTGTATTTTTTTAAAAAAAATACAACTTGAGATACACTTTTTAGTATAGTCCTAACATGATTGATTTGAGATTTGTTTGTCATTAGATAATAATGATTGAAGTAATAATGATTGAAGTAGCAATGGAAGAAGAGAGAGGTTTACAGACATTTTCTAATAAAAAAAGTCCTTATCTCCCACAGTCCCACGTGAAGGAAGCTCTAATAGAGTAAGTAATAGAGAGTCAAACAATGAAAATACTACTCCGTGAGAAACGTGGTAAGCGGCGCACGGCATTCCTCCTCCTCCTCCTTTCTTTTGTGCTTTGTTGCGTTTGTTTGACTTTTTGGGATCTTGTAAGATCAAGAAATAGGAATATCCTTCTCACTTCGGCCACTACTCTACTAGTAGTGGTTCTAGTGCAGTACTGTACTCCGGGGCAAGATTTCTTCTTTTTTTTTTATTTAAACATTTGTTGCCACCAAATCCACTACATTGTGTGAAGCCGTACAGTTTATGTTCAAATCCTTGTCCTTGCTTGGGATGGTATGATTACTTTTTTCATCTTCAGGAAGATATGGTTGTGATGCAGCTATTCTTTTTGCAAAAAGTTTTCTTGATGCTCAACGCTTTCTCACTCCAAGCATCTGCAGGTGCGATATTCTATGTGTTTTTTATTGCTTTCTTCTGATTACTTAAATTTGCACATTGCTGAAGGGTGTGCCCAGTGTTGCCGGATTCGTAGATTCCATTTCAGGATTTAATCTGCTTTCTTTGAAGGAAGCTTCTCTGCTCTTCTACACCTAGAGGAACTAATTTCTGCTTTTGAATCAGTTTCAGATTTTCTACTGCAGTTTTGGATTGTGTATACTGGGTGTTTATGAATCCATTCTTTTTTTAATTTTCTTGTCTACGATGAAATCACATTTTCTGTTGCCACATGCCCATAGTTCAATATACATTGTTGGTCTATATATGGATATTCCATTTAATACAGAGTAGCTTCAAGCATCACAGCTGAATGCCACATGCCCATTTTCTGTTGCCACATGCCCATTTACACAATCTTCGGCTGGAAGGGACATTCAAGCATCACAGCTGAATGCCATGGCAAGTCTATCCACAATCCACAACCAATGAATTGTTCGCCAAACGTAGGTATATAGAACTAATTCAAGCTTCAGCTTTAATTTGAATTATGAAAGCATAACTGAGAGCCAACGCTCTTACCTTCTTCTGCAGCTGCTAATCCACACAAGATCTTGAGTCAATTTCACTATTCAGATATACTTTCTAAGCCAACTTATAGGCAACATTTAAAGAAATGGATGCCCAGATTCGCTCTTCCACCTACATCCTCATCTTCTAAACAGAATCATAGAAGAAATGAACTCAGCAAGTTTTCTCCTCAGCCGAGCTGGCAAGGTTAATTTTTATTCAAATTCCTTAACTGCCACTTATTTAAGATCTAAAAAAGTGTTTGTCAAACTAAATAAGTGACATTGTAGGGTGACTATAATAAAAAGGTAGTCTGAGCAACTTATTTTGTTTTAAGTCACCTTTCCTATTTTCCAATTTTACCAATACTTTTCCTATTAGATCCCCTTTTTTCTTCTACTTCTCCCATTGAGTATTTTAAATTCATTCTACCCAATTTTCACATCTTTTATTTAACACTTCTAATTCAATTAGCTACCTTATCAGCATTTTTTATATTTCGGCCACTATTTTACCTTAATGGACTGTTATTTAAGAACGGGGGCAATAAACAACAAATAAATGTTTTGATATAAGCAATATATGACTCTATGGTATCTCATGTTCTTATTACTCCTATAGGGCATTGGCCTTCAATGTCTTCATCTCAGTCATCATTTCCTTCATCACCAGAAGGATTGTTAGCACCTCAGTCATCAGCAATGGTTCCATCAAGCCATTTCACTAGTATGTGAAAGCACTTCTTGATTTTATTTCTTTTTTCAATTTTTGTTTATCGTCAAATATACTGTTAATGGTTTCTTAATAAAAAGCATCACTCTTGCTTTCTCTGGGCAAGTTTCCCCTCAGCCCTCAAGCTCGCAGTGTTCCAGGAAAAAGAAGATGGTGACTCCACCGCCATTGCCACTGCTGGCACTACCGCCACCGCCTCCTAGTAAAGGTAAAAGACATTCACCATGGAGTATTGTAATCCCGTCAATATTCCTGTATGCTCTGCTAATGGTCCGTTTGGAATACAAAAAACATGTTGGAGAGTATAATTGGCAAGAATTAAGGAAATCAAATTTGGGAGAGTAAGACAAGTTCAAATTCAAACTTCAAAAATCTACTCCATCTGCCCTAAATTAAACTTTACACCTTCCTTTTCAGGCTGTTCCAACGTAAAATCTACACTTACTTTCGTAACACGGAAAGAAATATGTTGCTCACTAAATTTCTCTCTCTTAACAAATTTCAATGACACCACTTTTCAGTTTTCTTAATTTCTACACTTTCCTTAGACTTTGTGAAGTCAAATGGTATATTCTATAGATATTCGAAAGAGTATATTCTATAAATGTTCGAAGTTCAAAGTCATTGTCTTTATTTTATGAAGAATAACTACTAAAATATATAAATATATGCAAGCAATTTTAGAAAAAGTAATCATATTTTATTTTTTTTAAAATGTCCAAAAGTGCCATAAACTCTGTATAAAAAATGCATTTTTCCTTTCCCTAGTATTATACGTGAGCCAAAAATTACACTTAAAGTGTTCATTTCATTGTATGTGTAGATTGTGAGTCAATGACTTGCACTGACCCTCAAACATACACACCTCCCGGATCACCATGTGCTTGTGTTCTACCTATTGAGGTTGCAATCCGCCTCAGTATTACTTTATATGCATTCTTTCCATTGGTCTCCGAGCTTTCTAAAGAAATAGCCACTAGCATTTCTCTGAAGCAAAGCCAAGTGCGCATCATGGGAGCAAATGCTGTTAATCAACAGCTTGAGAAAACCATTGCACTTGTCAGCTTGGTACCCACAGAGGATGAATTTAATGCCACAATTGCATTTGCAATCTATGATTTGTTATGGAAGAGGGAGCTTTCAATAAAGGCATCGCTATTTGGCTCCTATGAGGTGGTTTATGTTCACTATCCAGGTTGTTAATTGATACTCCGTAGTTATTATTGTTAAACATGTTTAGCAACACATATTTGTTGGAACACCTTGTAAGAAATTATCAATGGTTGCACTATCCAGAAGAAATTATTTCTACTTTTGGATTCAATTTTCCAAATGCTCCAAATTCATTTCCTTTAATGGAATCTACTCAATACAAGCATTTTTTTTGCAGGCATACTGTTGAGACCTGTATGGCTGTTTTAGCTTTATTCAAATACCTCTGCTCATTTTCGCTGTCCATTGTTTTAACATTTCTTTAAAATAAGTATTATGATTCTTACATGTTACATTAATGCAGGGTTACCACCATCTCCACCTTCAATGCCTTCATCTAATGTTCCAAGGGATGATAGACCCTTTTCTGGAAACCACATCGATGGAAGTACAATCAAACCTTTAGGAGTAGACATATCAAGGACAAGAAAGAATGGGACTGGGAGAAATATGAATACTGGAATAGTTCTATCATTTGTGGCTGCCTTTTTCATATGTGTGGGAGTTATTTGGCTTCTCTGTCTAAAACTCAGAAGCCGTACTTATCGGCATATGCAAACAGCACATAATGTGGGATCTTCTCAGGTGAAAGCATCAGGTATGCAAACTGAGAATTTAACTCTTACTTTGATTATTTGATTTTGTGCGTTGTTTTTTTCTAAATTCTGTGCTGTTCAAGGTTGTAATTACTACGACATATTTACCTTTGATTATATTATGAGCTCTTCCATACATGACAGTCTTTAAGGTCTACTGCAGGTTCTGTTGGGTCGTTAACAATTACAAGTAAGACAATCTCAACATCAACGTCGCCTTTCAATTCTTACATTTTAGCATATGCTGGGACAGCCAAGATTTTCAGTGCATCTGATATAGAAAGAGCAACAGATAACTTCAAAGTCATCCTAGGGGAAGGTGGCTTTGGACTTGTACACAGTGGCATTCTTGATGATGGAAGGAAGGTGGCAGTGAAAACTCTAAAGAGAGATGATCGGCACAGCAGCCGTGAGTTTTTGGCTGAAGTGGAGATGCTAAGTCGTCTGCACCACAGAAACTTGGTGAAACTGATAGGCATCTGCACAGAAGACAATTATCGTTGCCTGGCCTACGAACTTGTCCGTAATGGGAGTCTACAATCTCATTTGCATGGGGTTAATAAGAAGGCTTCTCCACTTGATTGGCATGCTAGGATGAAGATTGTGTTAGGTGCGGCTCAAGGGTTGGCCTATTTGCACGAGGATTCAAACCCCTGCGTCATACACAGGGACTTCAAGTCGAGCAATATACTACTAGAGCATGATTTCACCCCAAAAGTGTCGGATTTTGGATTAGCTAGAACAGCGCCCGATGACGGAAACAAACATACATCAACTCATGTTATGGGTACTTTTGGGTATGGCTTACATCACATTAGAGAGAATTGCTCAATTGCTCCATATACTATATAGAACCATATATGTTTTACTTCTGTAGTAATCCTTTTAGCCCTAATGAAACAAGGCTAAAAATTGTTACCCAACATTCTCTTAAATCCTAATTAATATTTCTACATTGAACCCAAGTTGTTTGGCCTGCTGACCACTTCACTATCGCCTACTAACCACCCACCTCCAGCCACTTGCCACTGCCGCCAGCTCACGGCTCACTGAACACTGGTCAATGCCTGGAGGTCATGATCAATGCTTCACTGACCACTTGTCAATGAGCCAACTATGGTGGTGGCCGGCCTTGGCGGTTGGCCGTGGTCCATGATCCGGTGGCCAGAGGGTTAGGGTACTTCAGGTTTTATTACCTACTTTTAAGTTGTATAAGAGGTTTAGCAGTTCTATTTCAAAAATTATTATCAAATTTTAGTCCCCTATTTTTTTTGAACACTAATAAATGTAGTATGTGTTCATACATTCTCAACCTATTAAAGCTCGTAGAATTAATACCCTCACTGGGGATCAAACACGTGACCTCTCATTTGGGAGAGCCATAGCGGTGCCATTGACTACAAGGTCCTTGGCATTTTAGTCCCCTACATAATTTTCCTTGTTTTGCAATTTTCAATCTTACTCATGTTATCCTTTTAACTGTCTTAAGCATTGTATTTCAGGTATGTAGCTCCTGAATATGCCATGACCGGGCACCTCCTAGTGAAAAGTGATGTGTATAGCTATGGTGTAGTCCTTCTTGAGCTTTTGAGTGGACGTCAGCCGGTGGACTTATCACAACCACCTGGTCAAGAGAATCTCGTGGCCTGGGCCCGCCCTCTCCTTACAACCATGAAAGGCTTGCAAATACTTGTTGACCCAACCATTAAGTCATCAGACATTCCATTTGATGGGGTAATCAAATTTGCAGCAATTGCAGCCATGTGTGTCCAACCAGAAGCGTCTCATCGTCCCTTTATGGGCGAAGTTGTTCAAGCATTGAAATTCATTTGCAACGAGTTCGATGAGACTAGGAAGCCCGTGCTTGGAAGCTGCAGCCAGAGTTACTTCTATGTTGATATAGGGAGTCAACAAACTAATTTGGAAGCTCCAAAGACCAATGAAGCAATCTCTGTGTACTGTTCTGCTTTGGATTCTAGGCTGCCATTGTCGGTAGGAGATTTGGAGAGTTCTTCGGCTAGACTTAAAGAAGTACCAGAATGTGAGCAGTGCAGAAGAGAATTCTACTCTGCTCCTTTAGGAACTGGTGCAAAAAGAAGGTTCTGGCAATGGCTGAAAATTCTGTCCAAGGGCAGCATGACTGCGTGAATGGGCATGGCTGCATGGGTTTTCGTCAATGTTGGGATTTGGAGGTTGTTAAAGCCATGTTTTCCCTGTTTTGAACTAGATTTCTCTTTGGATTGTAAAAATGATGATATCCATTTGAACTGTTGTAAATCCAAGCAAAATGGGTTCAAGTCAAGGGGCTTGAGATACAAGGGGATATGAGGGGAAATACTACTCCTTGTATTGATAGTTCTCCTTCGAGCCATTCTTCATAGGACTCTTTAGGACTACTATTTTGTTCAGGTGGGAAATAATTTTTGGATTGCTTGGTTTTATTCATCTGTACATACAATTCTCAAATATTCTACAGGCATCTTTCTACACAATGTTGCTTTAGACTATGTATGGTTCAAGGAATTTTGAAGAAAGGAAAATGATTCTCTTATTTTACTCATCAAAATGGGAGAAATCTGGATCCCCTACTTAGTACATTTTTCCTTCTCATTTTCTTTTTCTTCAACTTTTCCTTTTTTTTTCCTCTCTATCCTAACAAGAAAAAAAAATCCCACTTCATTTTCTTTTCTTTTCCCTTTCAAATTCCTTGAGTCAAACATAGTGTTAGTGACAATGCAATATGTAAGGGAGCTAAAGGATAAACCAACTACTCCCTTTGTCCCTTTTTATTCTTCCTGAAGTTTAGGGAGACATAGGTCGTGTTCTTTTCAACTTATTCTTATTACTTATTACATTTTCTTATTTGAATTAGTTCAGATCAAATTAGATCAGACCATATTTAATCCGATCAGAACCATTCAGATCATGTAATGAGAATATCGCCAAAATGTATGTTTTCACTTTCTTGTTCTTTTCCCTGTTATGAAATATACCTTCTCCGTCCTATAAAACTTTTGAACTTTCTTATCTTACATTTTCAATAAAAATTTTAATTGGCATAAATGAACATAATTGGCCTTATTTTTCTTAAATCTAAGTGAACCTACCCTAATTACCTTATACACCCTACCCATTTTGACATTTACCAAACCGTACTTATTTCAATTGTTGTTTCACCTTGGTCAAACTCTTAGAGCATCTCCTCCCCAAAGTCAAAACAGTTTTGTAGAACGAAAAAAGTAATAAAATATTGTGTATTTGAAAAGGATTGAAAGTACTTCTCTTGTCTCAATTTAAATTGTCTGTTTTGATCTGGGCCAAACCTAAGAACTCGATGGCCCTGGACGAGACAAAAAAAATGGGCATTGGTCCCAAAAAATTAAATTATACAAACTATTTTCTTTAGACCAACAATTAATATTATAGTATGCAAATAACAAAGTTGTAGTATTATAACTAAATATCATAATAGCTACCTTAAAAAAATGCTACTACCGTCATAGAATATTTGTGCAATTTTGACGGAGGGAATACTTCGTATGTTGAGAGTAAATGAAGTTTGAATACTATATATGCAAATTAATTTGAGACAGAGGAAATACTTCGCATGTGGTAGGTTGGCGTACTAAAAATATTTAGGATAAATACTCGTTATAAATCTTTTTTTAAAATAACTATTCTTTCAAAACTAAAACGTATCACCCAAGAAATCAACGTTTTTAGGCAGAATATTAATGAAACCCAAACACAAAAATATTGAGAAAACCACTGTCAACATTCTACTTTTTGCACAACTATATATAGAGGAAATTGGTTTTGTGTTTGAGTGGTATAAAGCTCACTCTCCGAGATTTATGGGAAATTTAACCCAGAGAGGAGAGGCGTTGGCTGATTGTGCGTCATTAAATTGCGAATAGTATGAACAAATACTTCCTCCGTTAGAAAATGATCTTCTTATTTGACTTTTCATGAATTTAATGTTACATTTCGATCACCAATATTTACATTTACACATGAATATATTTTATGAAAATCTATACGTTTAATAATGAAACTATTAATATAATATTTTTATAGAATATAATTTTTCTGTATATCGAACTCAAAATTTACAAATTATGACAAAAAAAGTCAAATAGGAAGATGCTTCATTGTAATTGAGTCAATATCAATAATATACATACATACATACATATATATATATATATATACTTAGTCTCTTACTTCTCATATTTATCCTATATATATATATAGAAACATACTATTTATCCTGTATTAGCAAAAATAACACTTCAAACCTCTCAAATCTTTTAAAAAAATTTAAAATTCCTTACATTATAACTGCTATATTAATAACGTCACTTGATAGCAGTTAATCAAAAGAAGATAGTCCAGGCTTACCTTGACGCATCTGGTCAGTTGAACAACTTTAACAAGAGTAGATTCTACTGTGGAAAATTCATGAGCCAACAGGATATTCAAAAGAGGGAATCAATTCTGCAAATGAATCACAGCAGGCTACCTTTTAAATACTTGGGGGCACTAATCTGCAAAGGCAAGCTTAAAAAAGAGGATTGCAAAGATCTGATTAGCCATTTTGACAAATACATCAGTAGCTGGTTTAGCAAAACTCTCAACCCTATGGGAAGATTAGTTCTTATTAAAGCACGTGCTATCCTCTATCCCTCTTCACATCCTTAGTGTTCATACATTGCCCACTTCCGTTATCAGTACTCTTCACAGAAGTATGAGCAACTTCTTTTGGGGTTACTCTAATGGAAAAGCGAAGTACCACTGGAAAAATTGGGAAAACCTTTACTACCCTACTGCTGAAGGGGGCCTAGGTCTGAGGAACCTAAGAGATCTTCAAGAAGCCTATTCCATGAAAATTTGGTGGAGTTTTCACAATGGTAATAGCAAATGGGCCATTTTTATGAGAAACAAATATGGCACAACCAATTTTATGGAAAAACTTACAGACTCTCCTCTTTGCAAGAGAATTTGCAGAATTCACACTTTGGCCTCAGAAAACTTTCAGCTGGAAGAAGGAATCCAGGAGCTCCAGAAATTTTCTCTAAAGACGGCCTTCAATATCTGCAGGAACCACGGAACCATTCAGCTGAGCAATAAATTTAATTGGCACAAGCTTCAGATTCCAAAAATAAAACTTTTCCTTTGGAAGGTGAACAATAACGTTCTCCCTTTTCCAGAGAATCTGAATCGTTTCTCATACTCCAGCCCTTCCAGGTGTTTGTTTTGCGCAAATGGGGAAGAATCCATAGATCATTGCTTGCTAAACTGTCCTCGTATTCAAACCATCTGGAGAAAGATGTCTTACCTCTTAGATGGCCCGGTTCTGCGCAACAATTTCACTCTGCGGCAACACCTCATCGAGTGGAACTTGCACTCTAATTCATCTACCCTAAGGGGTAATTTAAGGATGGCGGTTCCAGGCATCATAGCATGGACACTCTGGAAACACTACGCAGGTATTAAGTTTGGAGAAGAAACGTTCCGGATGATGCAGATTGAAGAACAGATCAGAGGCACAATCAAACTCTGGTGTTGGAAATTTTGTCAAAAAGGCTGGATGATTCGAGACACAGAGCTTGAAACCAACGGCTTTCAAGCTTTCGCCCTTCATGGAAGAATGGTGAGGATGATGGCCCGCGTTTCTGAAGATTACGGTGGGCTGGGAATTACAGCGCAATCAGGCCCCCGGCGGCAAGTTTCTATGTAGCTATTGTTTTTTTTTGCCCTCAAGTGTTTTACTTTCGAGGCGTTGGTTTAGTCCTCCTCGAACGTGTACTCTAAACGCATTTTAATAAAGTGTTCTATTTAAAAAAAATTAAAAGAAACATACTATTAATTCCAACCCTTGTATTCCCAGCATTTTATCCATTAGCAACATGTATCTCAAGAGAAATCTGGACTATGAGAAATAAACCTTTCTGAAATTGTCAACTTGCATGAACTCTATATATGCAATGGAGTATTCCACCCACGGGGAAAACTTTTGAGCAGAATAAATAGAAAAACAAAGGCAGCTCTTTAAAACAAAATCAGAGGAAAGAGCTCTTTAACAAAACAACATATATACTTGTAACTTCATGTTGAAAACATACTGAAACCACCTAATTAAAATTCAGAAAACCATGGCTAAAATACTTTCACTTGCCCATTAACAAAAATAATGGAGGACTATGGTCTTACCTCAATGTCACCATCGTGCAAATACTGCTCCGACATGCTAACCTGTAGGAGCAGAAAAAAATATATAAACCAACAAATAGATCTGCACGGATTAATATTCGTCTTCATACATTTATGGTGCCATAAATTAATTAAGAGTTCTTGAATATATTGATAGAAATAACATCAAGGAAATAAAACCAACCAACAGCTCAAGCATAAAGATAAACACCTAGATTTCTCTTTAACCAAAGTAGTGAATTTTGTCAAGCATTAAAAAAGTAAATTGCACATGCTTAATGATAAAGCCTCATTAAATGATGCAGTGAAATAAAGCCTAATTACTTTAATTTGCACATGCTTAATGATAAAGCCTCATTAAATGATGCAGTCAAATATAGCAATTTGTGTAAGCTAAGTTGGTTTGACTTTCTAATATATGATAGTAGATTTTTTTATATGCAAGGACAAAAATACAATGCCTAGATATAGCTTAGTTTACTCAATAGAAGAACCTTAGATGAACCAACCTGAACAACTTATTTGACAATTTCTCTTACACTTCAAAATGTCCCAAAAGTAAAGAGAGTCATCACTACAACCAATTGCAATACAATAATCTTCCTATTCCTATGACAAAAGAAGCAAAAACCCATAGTTCAAGTGTGTAAGAAAGATATGAACTCGTAAAGACTTATCGTTGTAAAGATTGAATATTATGAATTTTGAATAGATAAAGTGCAGACCTCCCATGTTGAAGAGATAAAGATATTAAGAAACACATACCTCTTTTTTCCCAAATACATTTCTCCTTGATGTGCTGTGAACCACCAAATCCCATCCATGAGACGGAATAACTATTTTAGTAAATAACAAAAACCGCTCCCTATTTTTTGGATAAGAGTGCACATTCCACAACAAAGTTACAATAATATTTTGATAGCAAAACTCTTCTTAGATTATCCCATTTAATCCTTGCAGAAACATGCTCTTAATTCATATTGTTGCATACTCATTCGTAATTTTCTCATAACTTGCAAGCTAATCTTAAATTTTGCAGTTTTTATAAAACATGTTAGCTAAAAATCCTCATACCTTAAATCAAAATAATCATTTTACATCGTATTTCAGTAGCAAAGGATTGATATCAAATGAGCTTCCAAACTTACAATATCGGTAGATTTGGAGATATCAAGCTCCAAGTTTAACTTTATAACACATCCTTCAATTAAAATAGGATGAAAAATGGTTTTGATCTCTCTCAAATTTTTGAAGACCCTAAACATATAAAAAATGATAAAAACAAATGAATAAATTGTATGGACTGTCAACGAAACCTGCTCACCAACTATTTATCGAACACATTTCTATTGGCACGTAAAACAATCCATTAAAAGTTCACATGGACAAAATCATATACTTGCTTTAAACCATAATTAAGTTCTTGTTTTAACTTGGGCCACATAGGTAAGAAAAATACTTGTGAAACAGGGGAGTATAATTTTCAATAATGGTTGCATCTACATTTTTAGTTCAAGATAATGTTATATACTGTTATCACAATTTGGTCAAACTCCCGAACACAATATAGTATCCACTATTCAAAATAGAAGGAAAAGACAAAGGGCTTTGTTTTATTTTTGGTATACCAAATATGAGATTGGATGACACGAACCAAAATGTTGATACCTCTAAATAGCTCTCAATATAATAGAAAATATTAGCTTTGAAAAATATTGTATTAAATGAAAACATGCATTGCAGAAGTAGAAATAGTAGTGGTATTCTTGCTAAACTTCTTACCCACAAGTATGAAGGTGAAATCTGCAATCCTTTTCTCAATCTCCCTGACCATTTTATCATGTACTCTAGGAAGAAATGTTCCCAAGCTTGTTCGCACCCTATGAGCAATTAAAAATAATAAAGTTGAAGGATGGACATACCTAAATGATGCTCAGAGAGATGAGATGCTTGCTTGCTATCTTTGCTCTTGCCAGTTTCACTATCAACCACAGTTGACTTTTGCATGTGGGGTTTAGCAAGGTTAATCAAATATTCACATTCTTCCCTGGACTGGCAGAGGAAATAGCAAGGGTAAATTAGGTCAGTGGCTTCTCTGTATAAGCCAATAGATCACACGGTTGAATTGTTAGCCTGAACATAAAATGAACTTCTATAGAGAAACAAATGATAAACTGATAGAGTAATCCAGAGTTTAGAATATAAATATAATACAAACATAAAGTAATGTTGGATGACTGATAAAGTCATCACATCACAGATCCACAATTTATCTAATCTTATATTGAAGGTGATTATCTGATGTTTAGAACAACACATGAAAACAAAACACCGAAGATTCTATGGGAACACGAAATCTGGGAACAGACTAAGAAAGAGCTAATGAGTCTAATGCTAGAGAAACATAATACAAAAACAAAAAAATAAATGTAAATATTAATCCCAATATAACTCATCTTAAGGGATAATGCAATAATGGAACATCTGCTAAACAAAAGTGCACTCTTGTTCAAAAAAAAAAAAGGGAACCTTTTTTTTCTTTAGACATTGAAGAGGATATTTTTTGGTTTCAAAATGAAAATCATGAACCAAACGAGTTGATGAAGCCATACAATTCTATATGCAGAGAGTCCACAATACAGTATACTTCAAGATCAATATGAAATAAGAACATCTTTATATGATCCGATACCCAAAACAAAACCAAAAATATTCTTTAATAAAATGGAAATCAATATGTAATTTAAAAATCAAGAATAAATTAATAAATAAAAATATTTCAAAATAGTACCTTGACCTACTACAAAATTCATAGAATTTCACCCTATTGGAGAAGAAGATCCAAGGAACCCTAGCATCACAAAGATCAGAATAGAACACTCATAGGCCTTCCTTCTCCTAGCAAATGACCACATGACAAATGGGGAAAAATATATCATGGTGTGCTTCAATTTCTACTGGGATTTCTCAAAAAATGGGAATATGATCAAAAAAACATGTATACACAAATTTTTTAATCGAATTCGATTGGCATATGAATTTTGGAAACTTACCTAATCTAAAATCAAGCAAATTTGGAGAACTTCCTTCGATGACAAAGTCTGTGATGAATTTCTTTCCTTAGGCGATGAAATCAAGCGAAAAAATCGTGCATTTTTGGAGAAGAATTAGGGATGAAGATGCTTGGAGATGTAATATGCAAAGAAGAGGGAATTGGGAAAGTCTTCGATAGCAGAAAGCATAAGAATGGGAAGCATGTAAAGTGCGTGTCATTAAAATAAAACTTAAAGTGCCGTGTCATCCTTCTACACATCAAACTCTCAAATTTTATGCGGAGTATTAAAGGATACAGGGTAGAAGGGTAGCGTGGGTAGTGCTGATTAAAAAGAGTGCAAATAAAAACAATAAGAATAGAGCTATTTAGGTAAACCTCCAATGCTTAGGTGCTGTTTTGATTAAATTTCACTTAAAACAATGTCAGCCACTATTTTAGCCACACTAGGAATTAGGAAGGAGAACAAAAAATGAGTTCTGAAAAGGCTTCGTGGGTTAGTGGTTTCACTGATAAAAAAGAGTAAATTATTTAAATGGTAATTTATAACTAAGAGTTTTTCATATTCAATCCTCATTTATCAAATGCAATCTTCATAGAGCTATTAAATGGAAGGTATTTAAGTTATTTCACTCTACTCTTCTTTGGACGCCTATTTCCTGAGAAGCCTAATCGACATCATCAATTTACAATTACAGTTACTCCATCTTCTCTCTGTACTTGCTTCCACCGGGGTTTACAATTAACCGAGCCATATCCAAACATGTCAATGTTTGAAGGTAATTCTAGCCATTTCGAACTATATTTTCATAGAATCTTTATATCTTCTCCAATCTCTCATGCGTTTCGAAGTAGTTTTGATATTTTAGTATCGATTCCAAAAATCAATCTGGCATTTATTATGTTTAAATTTTGAGCTTTAGATATCTAAATAAGTTTTAAGCTTAGATATCTCCTTTGGTTGTGCTATTTTTTACCTCGGAGGTACGGCTAATGGACGACAAGGTGGAAGTCCTGATCCATTAATGGCGGAGGCTCTTGCTTGTAAAACGACTCTTTGCTAGTTAAAGAAACAAAAAGTCCGCAATGATGAGGTGATTTCTGATTGCGAGGTTTTGGACTTTTGGTGGGCGCTCTTCAACTGATATGCTCATTTGTATGTCATTCATACTTAGAGCACTGGTAATGCATGTAACTCCGAGGGGCTTGAGTGGGCGTTTGACGCCTAGGGGGCGTTAAACACCCCCCCTTGCGGAGTTACTGTTAGACAATAATACTAATAGTACTTCTTGTAGTATTGGTTATGGTAGTGTTTCATTATTAGTCAGCTTCCTAATCCTATTTGTGGTAGATGTTGTATGTTAGTTAGTTTCCATTCTCTATTCCTAGTTGTGTTAGAAGTCTATCCTATATATACTCTATCATGTACTCAATAATCCAATGAGCAATATTATTATTCCAATATTTCAACATGGTATCAGAGTCATCACTCTTGGTGACCTAAAATAGTTCTTTGCTTCCGTCGCCGCCGCCGGTAATTCCGGCGACGGTGACTCCACCCTATTCATCTCTATTTTCTTTTCCTTCTTTTATCCTCAAATCAACTTCTCCATTCAAATGAAAAAAAGGAAAAAAACCATGTCGAAATCACACAAAAAAAAATCATCAAAGGGGAAACTTCTCTCTTGTCATCTCCATGGTTCTTTAAAAAAAAGACCCAATCCCTCACAAACTCTCTCGGATCATCATATCTTCTCAAAAAAAAATGATTGTTGTTTCTCTCCAATTCACCATATCAAAATCTCAGACCCAATTTTTTTTCCATCACCAATTCTTAACCTACTTTTTCTCTCTAAAATCACTCATTCTAATCATCAACCTCTCTTCTCTTTCTCTTCTGTTGAACCATTCAAAATCCAAAGTAAATCAGCACAAAAGCAAAGCCAAGAAGGGAAGTAGTGAAAGAGGAAATAAGACCTCTACAAATCACCCCTTCAAGAAAGAAATAGGACATTGCCCGGATCCAAGAAAAAGACAAAAAATGTCAAGGATCTTCAGTCAAACACGCACCTCCAGTAGCTTTCTCTATTCTTCTTCAAATGACTTGTGGATTTGGCACGCTTTTTCAGTGTCGCGAGCTCGAACAACAACATCAACATTCTCGATCAATTGCCTGTTTTTGACGATTGGATTAATGAGACCGCACCCGACTCGTCTTTTGAGCTTAGAGGGGCGCTTTACGAGCGTGGATATTATTTGGCCGATGGAATATATCCAGATTATTCCACGATTGTCAAATCCCTCTCCGAATTAATGGGTCTAAAACGCCAGACCTACAAAAAAGCTCAAGAGGCGCCGAGAAAAGATATTGAACGAGCCTTTGGGGTCTTGAAGGGTAAATGGCACATTCTAGATCAACCGTTGAAATGTTATTCTCAAACAAAAATGAGGAATATCTTGTACGCATTTATTATTCTTCATAATATAATCATAGACGACTACGGGACTACGATTTGTCAATACAACCCGGACAAGAAGGTGCATATGTACGAAGAAATCAACGAAGAAAAGAAATGAAGAAACCGCCAAGAAATTCGAAGCCAAGAGATTCACAATGCACTAACAGCGGATTTGATTGAACATATCTTTAGTCGCTCGAATAATTAGTAACTGCTTTGTAGTGTTGTTTTTTTATGTAATATTTTTTTAATGAATGTAATTTTTTTTATGAATGTATTTTTTATGAATGTAGTTTTTTTATAAATGTATTTTTTTATGAATGTAATATTTTTTTAATGAATGTAATTTTTTTAATGCACTAGTTTCATTGCGATTAATTTAAATAATAAATTAATTTAAATTTATTAATTTAAATTTAGAAGATGTATATTTAAAAATGTAAAAAATGAAGGTTTGAAGCCCCAATTTCAAGCCTCGTGGCTTCAAACCCATTTCCAGTGAATCTATGAGGTAAGTTAAAGCTGACGTGGCAGAGAGAGAAATTTTGAAGCCCCGGGGCTTCAAGAGTATTTCCAGTGCTCTTAGGCTCTATTATTTAAGATTGTTTGGAGTTATCTCTTTCTTTTTTTCTAGAATCATCTTTTATTTTGTTCGTAGGAATTACAATTCTTTTGCTCACAGTGGCGGATCTAGGAAAAAATATGACTTGGGCCAAATACAAATTAAAGAGTATGGTGGAGTTCATGGGTGGCACTCCCGATTTTTTCAAAACGTTTGATAATGATAAAAATAAGAAAGTTTAATTTCAAACAAGTATTCAAATAAAAATTATTTTTAAAATAGAAAAATAAAATATAAAATATATCATAATAGAATATAATTATGATATTTCAAATATTTTAATTGTATATGTTTTTAAGTGATTATTTTTTACTTTTAAACTAAGATTTTCTTTTGTCAGTGGGGGCAAACTATACTAATTTTTTACGGGGTCATTCTTTTAACTCACTACACAAAATTATTTAAATACTATATATTATGAAGTAAAAAAAATTGACGGGGGGCGACTGCCCTCGTATTCATACATGTAGATCCGCCCCTGGTTGCTCATACTCTTGCAAGGAGTGCTACGTCTTAGGCCTCGTTCCGTTCAACTTATTTTTTCTTATTCTTATTAAAATCAGATCAGATTAGACTAGATCAGATCAGATCAGATTCAATCAGATCAGATATGATCTGATCAGATCAGATCCATTCATATCAGACCAGATCAGATCCCATGAAGTATTATTATTATTATTATTATTATTATTATTACTACTACTACTACTACTACTACTACTATTATCATCATCATCATTATTATGATCATTATTATTCTTAAAAATGAAAAGGAATAAATTTTAGAAACAAGTTAAATAGAAAACTGAGAAAGTAATCCTTAATTATTAGACGTCGGGAAAATTATTTTTAAAATACATTGACAATGTCCATCTAATTCTATTTTTAAAATATATTTTTATTGCTACTTGTAATGTGAGTTTCTAAAGTTTTGATCTTTTATAAAGAGAAGATATTTTAATAAAAATACGATCTCTTCTATATATTGATTATCTAAATGTAATTATTTTTTAATGTATATTTAAATTAATTATTTATTCTAATGTATATATGAAGTAATTAAAATTTAAATTAATATTCTAATTTCACAAAAAACTAATCATAAAATAATAAATATTATTACATTATAATATAAATGATTATTCTAATATATTACATTATTACATATATAATATGAATGATTATTACATTATAAACTAATTTTATTTTATTAAAAATAATCATAAAATAAAAACATTGATTATATTATAATATGAATTATCATTACAATTTTCAAACATTTTATAAAGTTAAATCAAATTATTGATTTGAATTTCAAATCAAATCATAATTAATCAGATCAGACCAGATCAGATCAGATCAAATCCAATCAGATCAGATCAGAACTTATCAAAATCAGATCAGATCAGAAAAAATAAATTGAACGGAACAGAGCCTTAGTCCAGTCTTGGGAGCATACACAACCTGATTGTATTTCTCATTTAGTTTCTTCAGAATGAAAGTTGGTTGTTTGGTTTTCAAAAATAAAACAACAAAGCTAATATACTTAATTTTAACTTTTGCTAAAGTAAATATGAGAGTCGGGTGATGGGTCAAGTGACAAGTGAGAAAATTGGGTTTGGTTGTTCGGTTATCAATCCAGTCGGGTAGAAATTGTCATCCCTACTTATACAAAATGTTAGTTTGATAATGACATTTCGTGCGACATTGTGCCAGTGTAAAACGTGGTGTGCACACAACATGCACATTGTTGAACAAATAGCATAAGACTTCGTTTGGTACACGGAATTCAAATTATGGAATTGAAATTAGAAACAACAATTCTCATTCTACTATTTGATAGCACAAAAATATGTGGATTTAGAATTGATAGTACTAAAAATGAATTAGAAATGAAAAATTCAATTCAATCCAAATCAATTGTATAGAATTTCAACTTCCAATTCAATTTCAATTCTGTCAATTCTGTGTACTGAACAGACCTTAAATATATTCTAATTTCACCCCACCTCCTCACCCGTCGATTATCATCTCCCCCGAATGGCTGAATTTTAGAAGAAAAACATAAAAACAACCTCGTTGTTGTATAGTCCGTAGTCCGTACCTAACATGCTTGAATGCTTGATACTCCTCTCCAGTTGAACTCATTTTTGGTATATAATATTTGACTAAAATTATTAAAACTTATTTATTTGAAAATTGATATGAAAAAAACATGTACTTTTTCACACATCAAAAGTTAATTAAGAGGTTGTATGACTATTATTTTATTAAACGAATAACAAAACTACACAAAGAAAATTGGCAAAATTTGACCATGTAAATAATAAATAAACAACTTAAATCCAAGGTCTATATAGTATATACTACATCCTTTCCAAGAAATTGCGACATTACGCAAAACAGAACGATATTTTAAGTTTTTTCAATTCATTTTGTTAAAAAATTGGTATAAAAAAATAAAACTAAAATATTTAAAAACTGCATCCAAAGTTCTTCAAAACAAGATGTGACAAAAATATTTTATTCTATGAAATAATCAATAAAAATGCACAAATAAGCAGAAACTTTTGTGATTTTTGAGTAATCAAAGTGGCATTATTTTTGGGAGTTTTTGGAATGGAGGGAAAATTAAATACATCCCTGGGAAAGAACAAGAAATGCTAATGGGAGAACAACAATGGCATATCCTGTCCTCTCAAAATATCAAGGATCGTAACAGGGGATATAATCAAGAAATGACCACTCAAATGGTCAAATTGTAAAGAAAAGATGTCTCTGTACATCAGCAGGCTAGGGGTAAATCAGGTTAAATGGCGAAACTAATTTCTCCCTAAAGTTGATGTAACCTTCGTACTCTTGGCAATAAGAATTAAATATGGACATAATAAAGCCTACTCAACATTAATGTGGACGGGATCTCTTGCTGCTGCAAGAGGAACACTTGTAGTGCTTCAAGTGCTGGGCTTTAGCAGGGGTAATTTTCACGCACCTTCCATGGAACCACCTTGCACATGCATCACAGCATATCCAGAAGTCATCCAGTCCATCCTGGAGCCCGCAAGCACCGCACATGGTGTTACTGTGCTCCTCTTCGTCTTCCTGTCCATCCTCTGCACAATTTGGGTCCAAGTCCGTGGATCTTCCTCGGTGATATTCTACTGGTGCCCTTTTCTTCTTTTTTAGGTTTTTTTCACAAAAAAAAAAAGAAAGAAAATGTAGTTCAGTGCTAAATAGTGACATCATATTAAGCAGGGGTAATCTAAGATATTAATATGCACTCAAGTAGCCTAATGGGGCAGTACCTCACACACATGATACATGCATGTAAGAGTGCTAGTTAGTTCAGTCGAATTGGTTTAGGCCGGTTTGATTTCAAAAAATGTATAACCAAAACCCTTCTTTCAGCATTTGTCACAAACGGTTTTTTCAGTTTCAGAAGTTTTATTGGTTTCGGTCAGTTTTCAAAACCCCCTATGACTAGACCAACCAATTCTGGTAAGAGTTTTTTGGTCGGTTCGGTGTTTGTCACTTTAGTTAAGATCTTGTTGTCCGTTGATTTTTCGATTTGCAGTTTTATTGTTCAGCCCTACATGCGAGATTTTAAAAAGTATGCACTGATCAAACTATCAAAGCAATGCAAAGTTACAGCATACCGATTCGGAACTTGGTTTCAATTTGCAGCGACTAAGGTCTAAGAGTGAAATTCTCTCTTTAAGTTGTTTCTTTGCAGCGGCAGTCACAATCTCAAACACTGTAGGCAGCTCGTTAATCATGTTGAAGAGTGTCTTCCTGCATATTAAAAATGGCGTCAAGATGGTTGAATGCTGCTTTGTCAGTATACTTTGATTAAAAGTATCTCTGACCAGGAGATGTAGAAGTGAACCCCAAAAAATGAACAATTGGAGTGGGAAGATGCACATGCACAACCTTCCCAATTCCTTTTATTTTAGACATCATACTTATTTCTATAAGGAGTGGTACATGTGGAAGATAAGCTACATGAAACTAGGTTGGGGTGGTTTGGGCACTTAAGGAGGAGAAGTTTAGAGACCTAATGAAGAGATGCGAGAGGTTTACGGTAGTAGGCGCAAGAAGGGGTAGGGGACCAACGAAGAGTTGGAAGGAGCTGATTAGACTGGATATATGACTTCAAGATGTTACCAAGGATATGGCCTTAGATAGGAGTGCAAGGAAATCTAGCTTGTGCATGTGTGTTTTCTGTGCTGTGGGTCTAGTTGCTAGTGTCTGTATCTTTTGACTGGCTGCTCTTACTTCATTACTTTGTATGTGCTTTTGTGTTTAAGTCGGCGTCTCTCAAAAACAACCTTTAGATTCCAAAGTGCATAAACAAACCAAGTAGTCACCAAATATGAAGTTCTTTGTATTAGACAATCAAGGAAAATGCAGCCCATGCGTACATTCCCGTAGATCATATATGATTGACAATTGGACAAAATTACCTAAGATAGGATTAAATCATTGTAGGTTTACATGAACGGGACCAATTTTTATTTTTACATGAATGGGACCTATAATCTCATATTCCCGTGCGTCATTTTTATGCCATTTTTACCCTTACGTTTTTTTTCATTTTTAAGGAAGAGAGAACATAGGCGTGTGGGCAATTTAGTCAATTTGTGTACGTTTTAGTCCCATGTTTGAAATAGTCCTATTTGTGTCAACTAGCATTGATTTAATCCTATTCTTGTAATTTTCTCATGACAATTGATCTTACTGCAGGTATGGTCATATGGAGAATGCTAGGAAGATTGCAAAATGATTAGACAACTGAGTTTTATAAATAATGTTTAGTGCACACCTCTCACTTTTATCAAATCCAAATCTGGCAGCAAAGTAGAAAGCAACCGAAAACAACCACCCTTCACTGTGGGCAGCTACTAATGCCAGCCATTCCTTAGCACGCATCCCATCTCTTGCAAAGTTGATACCCAAAGCAGGTTCTGGAATCTCTGAAGGTACTTGTTCTTCAGGTAAAGTAACTGACCACCTCCCATTGGGATATCCAACCAAGCAAAAGTTCTCTTTCTCTGTACAGAGAGAAATATGTACACTGATTGATTATTCCTAGATGATTGAAGCCTATAATGGCAAAGAAGACACAAGAAATTTATCCATATGAGCTGCTTCAATGTTAAAAGTTTGGCACAATCAGTAGACAATAACTGCAAACCGTTGAAAAGTGGTTTTACCCAGCGAATTGCAAGTTGCATCCCAAAGATGCATAGCAGGAATATTCCTTACAATGAAGAGACATGAAAAAACAGAAACACCAACAGATATAATGACAAATAAAAAACAGAGTGTTCCCCTGACTTTAATATATTCAGTATCAATGACTGTTACTTACGGAGTGCAATCTTCTTGAAGATTGCAACAATTGATTTCTTAGAACTTTCATCACACTTTTTCTGTACACCGTATGGTAACAAAACCCAGTAAAGTCCCACAAGTGATCTCTAGAGAAGGGTTGTATCTAAGCAAGTCATACAAGTTACATCTACCAATGAATGTAGAGATGTTTTTTTGTGAAAGACACTCGGCTTGCGATATCTTGTGCTAGATAGTACATACCATGGTTGTTAGGTCGAATAGTAAACCGACAGATCAACGAGTTGATAAATTATAAATAGTCATGACTCAGCATGTGTAATTGTTGAGTCCTGCAGAATATATACTCCATACTTACAAATACGGAGTATATGGCTAATCAACTCCAATCTTTTCCAAAAGCAATAAAGATAAAAATAACAAAAGCAACAGATTAAATCTCTAAAATAAACTTGAAGTATCCAGCTATCAAATATTAGGATCCAAAGTTGATGGAAATTTAAACAAAATTTTGCAGCACAAAGAATGAAATAAACAAGAAATTAAAAACAAAAATGGAAGAGGTAGAAACTCCATTTTCGTAATAAACCATAGATGAAACCTGCGGATTCAAAGACAATTACACTGGGAAAAAATATGAACGAATTACCGAATGCATGCAAAGAAGTACTGAAAAAATAAAAATAAAACAAAGTACGGTGTAATTTTCCTGGATCACACTGCTGATAAAAATCTTCCACTTCTGAAACAAGAAAAGGAATGAAATCAGGATTGTCACCATAATTAAAAATATCAAAGAGATAAAAAAGGGGGGAATTCTGAAAAATGATTACCAGTTGTAAGGGCAGCAATTATAGCGTTACGACGACCCTTGTAATCATAGAAGACTTGTTCCGGAGTACAAATAAGTTTGCGCCAATCTTGTCCCCCCTCCATTTTAATGTTCTTGATGAAATAAGATAAACAAAATATCGAAGGTCTCAAAAGGATGAAGAAGAAAAAACCACTACGACGTAATGATATACTCTGAAAGAGATTAGGGTTCGTTTCTGGGATTAGAGTTCCAAAAGTCCAACATAGATTCTTTATTTATAACTCTAGTTTTTAAGTTTTAAAAATTCATGAATAGTATTGATCAAGCCTCTAAATGCAATTTTTTCACCGTACACGTTAAAAGATACTTCCTCCTCCGTTCTATATTGATCTTCCCGTACACGTTAAGGGATTGAATTTTTTCACTTTGACTTCCAATTATACCCTTCTTTTGAAAAAAAGTAATCAGGGATTGAAGCTCAGTTGGTGAGTGTTTTCTAAGTTAAACTTGGTGTGCAGGGCCAATCCTACTAGATGATTATCACTTGATTCACTTGGGGGAGAAGATAGCGAATTTCACTCGAGAGAGAATCCCTAAACGAGTCGTCCATGCGAGGGGGGCAAGCGCAAAGGCTCACCTGCGCCGATTTTCTCCGCGCCCCAGGCGTCCAGACGCCGCTCATCGCCAGGTTCTCCACCATCATCCACGAGCACGGTTGCCCCAAGACCATCTGCAACCCTCGCGGCTTCGCCATCAAGTTCTACACCCGAGAGGGAAACTTCGATTTGGTTGGGAACAACTTCCCAGTGTTCTTCATCTGGGACGGCGCCCAGTTTCCTGGGATTGAAGCACACTTTCAAGATCTGAGTTTTAGGGATTTTGAGATTCAAAATGTAATTCCACAGAATCCATATGAGACAGGGAGAAGTATAATTAACAGAGACACGAAAAGAGGGCAAGGATGAGAGATGCAAGAGAAGCAAGGATAGATCAGATTTAGGTTTTAGAGGAGGCAGAGAAGTGGAAGGACGGAGGAGATGAAGAGAATGGGGAGTGGGCAGTAAGATAAGGCCTGCGTAAATGGGATGGGTGGAGTAATAAATATTTAACTTTTTAGGGGTATTATAGTCATTACATGTGCATTTAAAGTGTGTGGAAAGATGATTTTAGGACGGAAAAAAAAGAGAAGTGGGAAGATGATTTTAGGACGCAGGAAGTAATATATAATAGTCTTTCATGTACTTATAACTCTCCACATGTACTCTATAAGTAGTATTAATCAACCCTTAAAATGCAATCCTTTTTATGGTACACGTTAAAACATTTTATATATATATATATATATATATATATATATATATATATATATATATCCGTGCAGCCTCCTTTCGCCTCTCATGTAGCTCTTCGTTTCAAGCAGAAGTACTGGCCGCAATTGAAGCTCTTACATGGGCTTTATCAATCCATAAGGATATTATTCTTGAAACCGATGGTTTGGAAGTTATTAAGAGGGTCTCAAGATACAATCACTTCGCTGCTTCTCCATTTCCTTTTGACATCTTATCTCGCCTTATCTCTGATAACGGGATTTGGATATCACATGTGCTGCGAGAAGGAAATCAGCCAGCAGACCGCTTAGCGAAGGAAGACAGGAGCAAGCTTCAGAGTTTAATTGAATATCCTTATCTTTATTCTTGTTCTAATGTTAGAGCTGCTCTTGTTCAAGAGATTGTACCTTCCTTTCGTTTCCATTAATAAAAGCAATATTTTATTTGTTTATATATATATATATATATATATATATATATATATATATATGGCGAAACCCAATTTTCAGTCAAACTACAGTAATTGCTCAACATATACCAGGAGCTATGCCCGATGCGATGGATTCCAAAGGAAACGAACCCTTCGGCGCTTTCCGAAGTTCCCCTTTCATCAAAGAACGTGAAGATGGCCCCTTAATCACCCCCTCTCTAAGGAAAAGCACGACCGGTATGTCTACAGTGGCTCGAGATTAAGCTTCATTGAATCTGCAGAATGTTCAACAACATCCACCCGAAACATTAGTTTCAAATTCCAGACTTTTAATAAGGTATTTGAGCTCTTTTATTCCTTCTACAATCACAACTTCTGCATTTCTGATTTCGGAGCTAGAAGATATCACATTTGGTTTGATTTGGACACGGTTAATTGGATCCTGGGTTCCCTTCCTCTTTTCTCAAAGCTTAATTGTAGGGCAGTGTCCAAGGTTGAGGACAATAGAACCATAAACCTTTTCCTTGGGTCAAATAAATGGGGATATTTTGTGAAAATCCAAGAGATTAGAAGAGAAGGCAGTACATTCCTTATTATCCCTTTTGACTCTACCTCTGATGGCCCAAAACTTTTCACAAAGGCCCTCACCATTTTCACCAAGAGAGCTTTCAATCTTGAGGTAAGGTTTAAGGAGCCTCAGGATTCACAGCTTCACTCTCCCATTGGTAATGTTGTTTCACCCATACCTGCAAATACAGGGCAGACTATAAATATACAACAAAGTGGAGATGTCACAAGTTCAGAGGTCTTAGTTGGTAAACCCACCTCCGCTGATTCTAACAAGCTACTAGTTATTTTCCAGTCTAAAGCAGCCCCTAATTACAGCATACCCACAGCCGAAGTGTTCCCACCCCTTCCTCGGATAATTCTTAGCCCTTATGCTCCTGCCTTTGTGCCTGCTTTATGCTCTTATGCTGCACTTTTCACTCAGAAACAAGGAACCGAAGCTGAAACAGAACCGAAAGAAGACCCCTTTTCAAATCTCAATGGTCAAAATTTGTTACTATCCCTCAATGCAGTGGAAGATCACCCTAAGGAAAGGGAAGGACCCATTCTTTATACCCACTCCGATGGGGAGGATTTTGTATTCATTGATACAAAGCTCAAACCTTTGCAAATTGACTTTTCTAGATGCTCAAAACACCCTCTCCATCTTCGTAAGGAACTAAAGGGCAGGAAGACGTACTCACCATCACAAATTGTTACGAGGAGTAAGGCTAAAATCCTTGAGCAAGGAAGGAAATTTAATCCTATCGGCTGGATAGAAGACGAAGACTTGTTAGATCCCCAGGAATCACATGAAGACGAGGTTATCAAATTCTTCAAACTTTGCTGTCCTCACAAGATCGAAGATTCTAAACTGATTAGCAAACCTCTAACCAAAACTCAAAAAAAGAAATTGAAGAAGAAAAAGAAGCAGTCTCAACTTTCTGACTACGGATTTGAGGAAGATATTGAATATGCTTATTGATCTGCAGTTTAAGGGTCTGTACTATGCCATTTTGCTTTCTTAGTGTAGAACTGGCAGGCCATCCTTAAAAGAGTCATGGGTTAACAATGTGTCTTGGCACCAAGGAAACCTACTATCATTTGATTCTTGGAAAGAAGCTCCAATTGGAGTAGATTCTGTTATATAGTGTGTTCGCAGCTTTGGCTCTAATTCACACATGTTTAAGATCAATGGAACAGCCAACATAAATGCTCTAAGAGCTGCTGCTGAAGGAGTTAAAAGATTTGTATACATTTCGGCTGCTGATTTTTGCTTTGTGATTTACCTATTACAAGGTTATATATTATGAGTAAAAGAGTGCTGCTGTAACTGAATTTTTGACCCGATATACCTATGGAGAATTGATTTTGAGACCTGGACTCATCTATGGAACTCGTCGTGTCGGGAGCATGAAATTGCCCCTTGGTGTAGCTGGATCTCCTATTGAGCCTCCCTGGTGTGCTAGCACAGGTGTGTTAGGAAGCTCCCTCTGATTGGACGGAAGTACAAGGTACTGTTAATAAGCTGGGACATTGCACATGATGCTGGAAGTTGTTTTGAGGATAAGGGACCTCCGCCGGATTTTGGTAAAAGACTAAGCTGCTGTTTGCTCTAGTTTAGATTCATGCTTTTGGATTTACACCTTTTGACTTTTTGTGAATGTTTTCTTTCCCTTTGATTTCGGCTTTTGTGTTGGAGCTGGCCACTCCTTTGCATCTGTACTCTTTTCCTTTTTTAATAATATTTTCACTTTAAATAAAAAATATATATATATATATATATGTATATATATATATATATATATAAAATAAATTCCATAATTGGTCCTTTATAACAGGGGGGTTTCCATATTTAGTCTTCTATTATCAAATATTATCCCTGTAGTCCTTTTTTTAAGGATACCTTTCCACAAATGGTCCTTTTTTGATCTTCTATCGTGCTGGTGTTAATTTAAAGGCTAAGAGTATAATTTGACATCAACATTATGTCTAGTAACGTGTTCTGATATTGGTTATGCGGATAACAAAAAAATAATGACTATGATTGTGGGCTAGGATTCTGACGAAAGATCACATTTGTAGACTATAGTTGTCGTAAAAAGCGACTGTAATTCACAAACGACGCTAACGGAACAGCCTTTGGAATTGTGTATGACAAAAAAGATATATTATCATTGTGAAATTACACTTTTAGCCTTCAAATTAACACCAACATGATAGAAGATAAAAAAAGGACTATTTGTGGAAAGGTACCCATAAAAGAAGGACTACTAGAGTAATATTTGATAATAGAGAACTAAATAGGGAAACCCCTTGTTATAAAGGGCGAATTATAGAATTTACTCATATATATATATATATATATATATATATATATATATATATATATATATATATATATATATATATAAAATTTGAAAGTTAGACTTCTAGAATCGTGACATGTGGCATGCTTATTGGGCAATTGTTTTGACATGTCTGCAGCCATGCCATCAAGTTATATTTAAAGAATTAATTAATAAAAAAACTTAATCTATGAAAATTAAATTTTGTATTTGTTACACACGCATTTCTCAACATAATCGCGTTTAAAACTTTTACATCTTAATTCTTTGTTGGAAAACATTTAAATTAAATAATATATTTTGAAATTGAAAAAAAAAACTCATATTCAAAAACTCATAATCAAAAGAAATACATTTATTCTAAAAACGGATAGATTGGTAAAACTAAAAGAAATTACATATGAATATTTATATTTACTTTGAATTAATAGTAATTGGAGATATTTTCCAAGTTTGAAAAAAGAGAATATATATATAAAAGAAAAGGGATTTTTATGGGCATGTTTATTTAATAAAGTAATAATTTTATTCAGTATATATTTTAAAAATACTAAGTTAAATAAAAACTATGTTCCATTTTAAATTTAGTATATTCTATTTTTAAATTCTTATTTTCTATTACGAACTTTGTAAAAATTTATAGATGTGTGCCACAAAATTACTATTTTCCATTAATAATTTTTGAAATGATGAAGACTTAGTATGTGAGTATTTATGTGGGAGAAATTAATTATTAATTGGTGTTCCTAATCGAAATATTTATGGTATAATACTAATTTTTATAAGTGTAATTACTATTAATTAAAATTCTTAAAAATAAAAAACATGCCTATTTTGACATTTGTGTCAAAATAATATAAATAAGTAATATTCTTACTTATTTATTCATCTGACCGTTAACAACAATGTAACAAATATTAGTAGACAATATAACTTTTTTATGTTTAAAATTTTTAGATAAAAATATCAAAAATATTTATTTTATGATGGTTTTTACAGATACAGAAGGAGAGAGGTCGTCATCGGCTATAACCTTGCATCATCGAACACGTTCGAGAAAGAATATCCTCTGTGATTTGACAAATGGTATCTTTATTATTCTGAACTAAATATTTAATTTTTTAAGTAATTGTTTCCCAAAAAAATCCATACAATGCTCCAATCCGAGAATAATTGCACAATTCTTTGAGCATGGTAATAAAACAATTATCTTTGTGTATTAACTAACTATATGTATAAATTATTATGTACTACGTGAATTAATTAATATGGTGGACCCACTCGAGGTTGAATTTCCATCTCCCATGTCTAAAATTTGTAACCTTTAGAGACCAACAAAAGCTAAAAGATGTTGAAAAATTATGACAAAGCTTCATTGTTTGAAGCTTGCATGATTTTCAATGCACAGTATGATGCGGGATAAAATTTGACGGATGCAAAGAATTTTCAGAATTTCCAGATCTTTTTGTGTACAACCACAAAGTGCGGAAATGGTCCGATGCAACAAAGACCGTCAATAGGCAGGCTACAATATGTGCTTCCAGAAACTAGAGAGTTATACTACTTGAGAATACTATTAACTATCCAGCGAGGATGTATAAGTTATAAGTTCTTAAGAAGAGTTAACAATGTTCTACATAACGCATTCATAGAAGCATGTGAAGCATTGAGACTATTAACCGATATAGCTATGAAACAAACATTTCACATTTGCCTTACCAGTTAGATCATTAATGGCACTTTGAGCATCCTGGAATAAATAAAGAAAAAGATTTAAAAATTTACACTGTTTTTGGAAAAAAAAAAGCTCCAAAAGAGAGATAGAAGAGACATTTCCCTCATGCGCACATGTTGGTTTCGGAATGACACAAATCCCAACCCCCTAGAGTGCCCTGTCTTCTGATCCCACATGATTCTTGCATCACTAAAACAATTTTACAGGTAAAAACCCTAGCTTGCAGAATTAAACAATATAAGCATGCCTTTTTTCAACAAAAAAAAGTGTGCCCATGTGATATAGAAACAAAATTACATCTCACAATTTACAAACCAGATGGCAAAATGCAAATTTGAATGCAATGTAGTTGTGTGCAATCCAACATGAAAGTTGTACTCCTTTCGTCCCAAATTAAAATTTCCATTTGCTTTTTCACGGAGTTTAACAAAATGTAAAATGGTGTGGTCGAGATTTATGCATAGAGAGAGAGAGAGAAATAATGTAAATCAATCTGATGATTACCTTAAAAAGAAAGAAGAGTTTAATTTGGAACGGCCCAACAAGGAGTGGAAAGCTAATTTGGGATGGTTGGAGTAATAAGAAACATTGAATTTTATTAATTCTAATTTTTCAGATATTTCAGGCCTGCTGTGACCCTAGTTAAGGATTAGAAGTAGGGGCTATGAATTAAAAGGATAAGAGGAGGCACTAACGAGAAACTATGATATGTGGAGAAACAAGCATATAACATGGCATCGGTAACTTCAGGGCTGAGATCACCTACAAATATATTGAAATGACCTACAAGAGGTAAAAACAACATCTAGTTATATAAAACTTTTCTGTGAGAAGATGATCTCAATAATGTTTTTTCGCAACGATGAGCATAATAAATTGATAATCTAGCAGATAGGTAAATACGCACTAGAAGTATCGAGAATTATTGACGGAAACCTCTAAAATAAATGGTTAGTAATAAAAAGCTTGAGTCACGTCAGGCAATGCTGTCCTCAAGAAATTATTTCTGGTTTGTCGGAAATTTCCACAGTATTAAACGAGCCCTTCGACGTGTTGCCAAAAATATAACTAACGAGATTGAACAAGATTATTGCCCAATAGAAACTTCTTATTGTTAACAAGAATCACCAAACTCGACTGTACCAAAACTTACACACTCTGAATAATATCACACACATAATTACTATATAAGTAATCATTACACACAATTAATTATTATATGTATTTCATTATGCTTATATGCTTATATGCAATATAAACTGAGAGTGATTGGAGTTCAAAGTTTGCCCAGTTTGACTCAAAAAAGTCAAACTGAACAAATACATTAGAACGTAGGTAGTATAGATTTCTATAAAATATTCCTCTAATAAAGTAACTAGAGAGTTTAGATGATATTTTTTTGGTGGATTAGGGTAAGGTTTGGTGGTAGGGTCAATACTATCCTAGTCAATGTAGGTTTTTCCGTTTTGAGAGCATTGACAATGGCAAGACAAAAATGAAATGCCACACGATGACATTGATTATTTCAACCAATAAAAAGTAATCCAGTCACTGTGTGGCAAATGAGTGGAGTATCGTAACATCAGTGGCAAGTCGTTGTTTTTGTCTATTTTTGCACTTTTTAATGATTTTTAATTATAAAAAAATATTTTAAAAAATTATTTTATTATTAAAATATGTTTACTTCTTTTAAAAAAAAATTTTTTCAAAAATTAAAAGTATTAAAAATATTAAAAAAAATAAAAAGTGAGAAAGTCATGTCTTGCACATGAAATGAAAAGTAAGGTGAAATGGCTATGAAATGTCATGATTTGAATGGAATTTGCTGACATGGTAACAAGGCATTGCCTTGCCATTGTGAATGCAGGTGTTTGGTGCAACTTTGCAAGTACCAGCTTGATACTGATTGCACAAAATTCCCAATTTCCCACGGCTTCCCTTTAAATCGGGGAGAGTGCATAACTCCACGGAGGAAAACCTGGAATCCGCTTATTGAAGCCAAACTATGTCCGCCTACGACCAAGCGGCAGCGGCAGCAATTTCTCAGATAGCACTAGCGGCGGACGGTGCTCTGCTTGGTCTTACCCTAGCATTCGTTGCTGTGCGGAGCATATTCAAGTTTAGGGCTACCCGCTCGGCTTTGCACATAATCGAGGAAGCCCCTTTGGTTCGGGTTTCAGATCTCCGCTCGCTCTTAGGCGCAGACAAAGATTTAAACCAATCCGATGGAGGCAGGGTGGTCATTGTCCGCGGCACTGTGGAGGCAAAGTCTTTCGTTGAAGGAAACTGGAAGAGCCTTGTGACTAACGTGCTTGTTGCTCCAGACTCGGGCGAGAAGGCTGTCATTTTGCAGCGTACTCACACTGTAATTCACTTATTATCTATTTATCTTCGTTATTTTATTTTATTCGTTCAACTCTTATAGGACACGTTAAAGGGTTACCACGATTAATTGCTACTGAAACTGCAGTTACTATGTGCATTTCATGCTAATTTGGTGTCACACTCCTTTTTCCCTATAGTTGCCCATTTGGCTGAGATATTGGACGATCATCCCTGCTACTTTGTTACATTAGTTTTTTGTTGATAATTGCTTATGGGTTATACCCAGTCACACTGACCTGATCCTATGGCTCATGACCTGTAAGATGATGTCAGAAACCAATCTTTTGGACCAGCCCAGATGGCCGGGTGCTCATAGGCATCTATGGTTCCTACCATAGTTGACTATCCCTAGTCCTAGGGGGTAGGCATAGGCTATGTAGGCAGTCATTGTAGCCGACATGCCAAACACATGAGATTTGATCTGAGCCATGTGTGGTCAGTTACACGTGCCTGGTGGTTTGCTGCCTGCACATGTTGGATGTGGACTAACATGTTTCAGTTTGGGCAGTTCATGAGACTAAATAAACCTCGCTGAGAACTATGAAGAGGGTCAACACATTCTGAAATCGATTTCTGTACAGGAATCTTTGTATTGTTACCGACCTCAAGTGTTCCTACCCTGCTCCTCCTCCTTTCATCATTCAATTCTTGTTTCAGTTTTCCTTTATCACTCCAGTCTACCCTCTTTGACGTAGCTCAACCTGTTCAAGTATAGTATGCCAACCTCCATGTGGATCTACAATCTACATATACCCCATCAATTCCTAATGTAGGTCTATAGCTAAGATTCAAGCCTTTTTCCTCTTCTTTTGTGTGTCTTGAATGACCTACAACAAATTTTTATTCCCGAATTATCTTCCCACTAAAATAGATGGCGTGCTTTGTTCATCAATATGTTTGGCTGAATTATCTAACAAAAATATTTCAAATGTTTTCGTACTATCTAAAATATGATGGTCGAGGTCATTTAGTAATATACTCCATTTGTACTAATACAATCTCCCTGTTTCCCTAAAAGGCACATTAAATTTCCATTTTTTCTTACTCTCTATATTGAGCCAGGGTTCTCTTTGGAAATATCCTCTCTACTTTTGAGTAGGGGTAAAGTCTGCATATACACACTCTCCCGAGATCCTAGTCTTGTGGGATTCAAATGGGTAATGGGTTGTTGTTGTTGCTTCTTACTCTCTATGAAGTTGTGGGTAGTAACTGTAGCAATGCATCAAGGGTCTAATAAAAACAACTGCTCTGTTATTTACATGGGTAAGATCATGTACATGACTACATGTTGACCCCCAAATCGTGACATAGTTGGGATTATATTGGGTTTGTTGTTGTTGTTTCTTTTTTTAAGAAAGAAAAGTGTGGTTGGTAATGTTTTACTCATTTGAACCTAAATCCCAACCATAAAATTCCATTTTCAACAATGCTCCTTAATAAACATGCCAATTCAAAATGAAAAAATATTTTAAGATAGATGAAGGAGTTAAATTAGTTAGTGTGTGGTTGAAATTATGGCCCGTAAGGCTGCAATGTCAAAAAATCGAGTTACAAAGTTTTCTTACACAATATTATGTGCTTCGTCTTATAGCTGTATGTGTTTTATTAATTTTCTTGATCTGATGCGGCTGCTAACTTTCTGTCAATCTAAGGTTTAATTGCTGCTTATTGAATTTATATTTATACTGCCTTTGTATCAACCTAGGTTTCCAATCTTAAGCCAGTACATTGTCCACTGTTTATGTTATCAGTGGATTATGGTGGGATGTTTATTATTCAATCTTTTGTCTGGTGTAGTGTATATACAATGATTGGAAAGTGTTCATGGGATGGAACAGTGATCTACTATCACTTTTCTCAAGTTCTCGGAGAGTGCACAAGTCTTCCTCCATTAGAAAGGTAATGTATATGAACTCTGGTGTTTGCCAATGTTTATGGTTGCTATTTTAATTAAAAATAGACATCATATCTTGCGGCATGTCTTCTGAAAACAAAAAAAAATCAAAACTTTTGAAATAGAGAACATCAAATAAGTCATGTGACCAACCAACCTCAAGTATCTCAATTGAAAATGAAAGTGTGTGCATTATCTTGTAACTTTCTTTCCATTGGGGGGGGGGGGTCTTCCATCTTTGGGCCATGATCATACACCATCAGTGGATTGGGCATCATGGGTAAGTTCATTCCTATGTTTATCTCCCAGGTTGTAGGCCATGTGTCTGTGAGAATGCCGTTCATTAATTGTCCAGTAATGTACGGAGTATATTTTAATTTTACAGCACTTCATTTATTTCTAATGCTATATGAAAGCTAAATAGGAAACATTTTTTTAATATATTCTTATTATGTCTTCCCAAAATCGTGGTCAAGTATTTTCCTCAAATTCAATGCAACCATAGTTAGCGGTAATTTCCTAGCAAATGATTTAAATTAAAAGATAACATTAGAAGTATCAAAATTTGAACAGGAATTGAGTCAAATTTGATCATGAATATAATAAAAGCGACAAGCAGAGAGTATAGTTTTACTTACTTTTTTTTATTTAGTGATTGTGTTTGAACTAATTCGGTAACAGGTCCCCTTTGTTATTGTTGAAGCTGGAAGGTGGTCACAATCTGAATATGTTAATGTTAAGCTGGATGGATCAATGCACCCCCTACCACTTGTGACAGTCTACCATCACTTGCATCCAGTTAACGCCACTCCTCTTACTTTTCTCCAGGCACTTTTTGGTCATCAGTACCCTGTCAGTATTAGTTGGCTTATGGATTTTTTATAGCTCAGTAATAATTAAATTTATTTTTTAATCGTTGATAATATAATCATTTTCTTTCTATTTGCAAAGGTTGGACTGCTAGATGAAGAAAAAATCCTGCCACTTGGGAAGGAGATAACTGCAGTTGGCATTTGCAGCTTGAGTAGTGGAACTCTAGAGATCAAAGCATGCAACTATCTTCCCTTTTTCATGTAAGTTGACATTCTTTTTGGTATTGGCTGGGTGGGTGTTGAGAACTCTCTCACCACACTTGATTTATATAATACTACCTCCATCAAAAAACCTTTCTTGTTTTGATTTGTTTTCATTTTTTTGTCAAACAACACTCTTTAACCAGAAATTCAAAATAATTGAATAAACAAATGTTATAAAAGTTTGATTTATCAAAACTATATCCTTAGATGAACCCAATTGTATTGAGTTTACATTAAAATTAAATATAATTTTTTCACAATTTGAGGTCAAAGAGTGTCTTAGTTTGACCAAAAAAGTCAAAATATGAAAGGTTTTCCAAGACAAGGTAGTTTTATATTCACTCCGTTTCTTAAAATATTTCCTCTTTCAATTTTTTCACTTTCCTCAAAACACTTACACTTTCTAATAAAAAACCACTTTTACACCAACTTTTTCTTATCCTACCTATCACATCATATTTTTTCACTAACAATCTATCCATCATATCTTACTTTTACCTAGACTTGGCAAAAAATGACCCAACCAATTTTTGACCCGAGACCTGACCCGAAAATACTGGGTTTTGAACAAAGGTTTTGCTGACCGAACTCGAAGTTGACCGAACCCGAAATGACCCGCTAAAAATGGGTCAAACCCACCGAATACGAACCCGACCTGACCGACCCGCTAATCTTAGATTTTTCCATAATCATACATTTTAATATGAAATATAGTGTTATAAAAATAAGATTATAATTATATTTGTTTGCTTACTACTCATTTTTTGTGTATAGATTTATACCATCATAACAAATTTTAATGATGTCGCATAATTATCTTACATTTTTTAAAAATTTCTACATATTTAATTTTTTTATTCGTAATATTGACACTAAGTCATAAAAATTACTTAAAATTTCAAAAAATAAATGAAACTCATAACCCGTTGGGTCATCCCGAATCCGATGACACTAGGTCATGAACATGTAGTTATCAACCCGAACCCGAACTTATCTGAACCCAAAGTAACCCGAACCCAAGGTGACTGAACCCGTCTTGACCGACCAATTTGCCAGGTCTACTTTTACCCATCACATTAAGGGCAAAATTAGAGAGTCAACTACAAATATATACTCCTTATTTCACCCATTAGTCAAAATATGAACCTTTTTTAGAACGGAGGGAGTAATATTCTCCTTTTGGATTCAAATACCAGATTTTTAAATTAAATACTCCATCTGTCCCAAAGAAAGAAAGATTCCACCTTTAACTACGCACGGAGATTAAGAAAAATGAAATTCTGTGATTGAAAGTGATGTAGACGAGAGAGAAATTATAAAGACCACAGATTTCTTATCAAAAGGGGAGAGTGGAACCATTTTTTTGGACGAACAAAAAAAGGAAATGTGCAACCTTTAATGGGATGGAGGGAGTAGTATGTTAGGGACCTGAAGAGATGTCTGACATAGATGAAGAACCCTTATCTTGGCTGTGTCTAAAAGAATGCAAGAGCATATGATCCTCCAGTCTAAGACTAATTAGGAAGATTTGTTTAATTGCTTTGACGAGGATAGTTTTATTAATGATTGTGTGTATAAATAGGCACAGCCTTATGTGAAATCTACCATAATCATACTAGGAAACAACAATCCTTATTTAGGTATATTAGCTAAAATAGAACAAGACTAGTACTAGGAAACTGTTAATATTCCTAATAATAATAGTACTCCCTCCGTACCAAAAGGAACTTAATTTTGCAGCTTATGATGCTGGAGTGAAGTTATTTTCAATTCACCTTATTTCAACATCGGTGTAAAATATAAATTACTACGGAATATTTATATACTCTCTCCATTCCTCTAGATTCTTCCAAGATACTATTCACAGGGTCAAACTTTATTCATTTTCTTTACGTGCTTTCTTTGATTATTTGATAAAATAGTCTTTGTAAATCTTTTGATGTAGTTTTTAAATTTATAATTTATATTTTTTTAATTCTACACCAATTTTCATGTAAAATGAATTAAAAATAACTTCAGTCAAACATCATAACGCGAACCGGGAAGAAACTAGAGGGAGGGAGAGAGTATTTAAGAACAACATCAAATGTTACATAAAACAAGAGGTTGCATGAGTATCTTGTTTTAGTAAACGATCAATGAAAGTATGGAAGGAAAGAAATATGGGTTGACCGGTTGACCCTATGATTATCTCGTTCCATTGTTCTATGAGTTGGGCTGTGCTATGATTTTCATCAACCACTTCTTTAGATGTCTTTCAAACCACACAAGCCATAGATTTTAGTTGGGGTCGAGTGAATTGAAAATAAGCAAGCTTCCTTTGTGCATTAGTACCTGATTTTGGCCGAGTAATCGAAGGAATTGAAGCTATATATAGATGAACCCACTTGCATATTATCTACCTTCGTATCCGTCAACCGCATCATTATCATTAATATTCTACCTCGTTGGTTTTTTCATTGTACCTTCTGTGTGTATTAATGTATTTCCTTTATTTCTTTTGTCCTTGTATTTAGACACTTTGCAACATCCCCAAATCCATCAGCAGGATGCTTTAACCTTCTTATGTCAACATGCATATTTTTTATTGATTAGTGAACACTTGACAACATCTTTTTTGGTCAAATCAACCCACATTTCCACCTGTGATCATTGTAGTGGTAGTCATAGTTGGTAAGGCGCCGCCTAGGCGATAAGGCACTGTCCCTTGGCTATGTTGCACGGAAACTCCATATAGGCTTCCGTACTCGTTTCGGAGACCTTGTACACGCCGACACGCTGCGGAAACGCCTGGAGACGTCTCGGGAAACCCACATGGTGTTTCTGTAATTTTATTTTTTTTTAAAAAAAGAGAAACACTTGGGATTCGGCCGGGAGACGCGTATCTCTTTTGGGAAACAACCTAGACACCTCTTTTAAAAAATGGGGGTCTTTTTATTAGTTTTATAAGTTTAGGAACAGAGCAAATTTTAAGGAGTATTATGTGGCCCCAATCGCTCCTACCAATCATCGCCGGCCGCCAGTCGCCTCCGGTCTCCGCTGCTGCTGCTCCACTGCCGTTGACCGGTGTTAATATTTTATTTTTAATTAATTTTTTAATTTTTAAAATTAAAAAAGAAGGTGAGTTTTGGGGTTCAAAGTGGTGAGCTTTGCTTTATTTCCAGGTGAGCTTTGCATTGTCCATTGGTGAGCTTTGTAGTGTAGTGTGGTGAGCTTTGCGTCATCTAGACCGAAGCATGTCATCTCACCGTAAGGTGTCATCTCACTGGAGTCAATCCCTATATATATATATATATATATATATATATAACACACACACACACACACGCATATATGATAGACCAAAACCCCCGGGTGTGTATTTTTTGGTCTATACGATATGTGTATAAAATATAGAAAATATATAAACAAGAATATAAACAACAGACTTTGATGTGGAAACCAAATCGGTGAAAACCATGGGCCTTTTTTGGCGGTACCATCACAAGCCCCCCAGTTTCTGAGTGAACGCGAAGTGTTGACTGATTGTCGTCTCTGTGAATTTCTTCAATCGACACTCTCTTGCGCCAGAATCCCTTGAAGCTTCTTGCAGTGTAGGCATAAATCTTGGCTCCTCAAGTTTCTCTTCTTTTAGTACCTAAAAAATTAAAAAACATCATACTTGCCTCGTTGAGCGACTACGAAGTCCATGGGACGGCTTCGTTGCGTTTCGAGGAGAGGACTTAGGAACCTCAAAAGATGAGGGATTTGGTTGCCTCGCGAGGTGTTTTAAGGTCGTCCTCGGGAGAGGACTTTTGTGCCTTGTAGGACGAGGTCTTAATTGAAGCCTCGTAAGGTGGTTTTGGGCCGACCTCGGGAGATTAAATAGGCTTAAATAGGCTTTGCCTATTGTTTTATTTGTTGCATCGATGACTTGGAAGAACACACCCACTCATCCCGAGGTGTGAACTCTTAGGACTTGGCCAATTTTAGCGTTTCCATAGTGATTTTCACGAGGTGCGCTTTTGGCGTCGCCCCGAAGGTTTGAGTTCATTATGATGTGACTCCTTTGTTTGGAAGTTTGAACGTCAAACTCTAATAGACCGAAGATTTTATGACGCAAAGTTTGGTACGGGCCTCGGTTTGATCGTCTTCGGTTATTTTGGGTTTGTTTTGTTTTGTCCCGTGAGCATGTGGCTCAAAAAAGTCTCTCACTGGTAAGCACACCGCTCTAACGGTATCTCTCTCTCTCCTCTTCACTTGAGCCACTATCGGGCTTGTCCTAGAAACGACAAAGCAAAATTTAGTGAGTATGGAGCTAAGCCTGTGGTGACCGGCATGCCAGGGACTGGTGACCCACACCCTTTTATTTTCTCTTGCGACAAAATTTGGTCAGATAAAACTTTAGCCTAAGCCCATTGGGAATTCTTTTCTCCTGAATGGCCCATTAAGCTTTGCAATACAGAGTATCAACAACTCTAAGCCCCAACACATCTCAGTGTGAGTCAATTTCAAGACTTACTCTCCAACTTCTCGCAGCAGCGATCAATGGCACCACCGATGATATAGAGCTCAAAACAAAATTCGGTCTTCAACAGTGGCAATTGGAGCCCAGTGACCAGCAGTGTTTCACGACGAAGCGACCCGCAGTGAGGCAACCAGCTGCGGTCAGCGGTGAGGCGACCAACGGCAATTAGCGGTGAGGCGACTCACAACGGTCAGCTTTGAGGCGACTAGATTTGGTCCATGGTGAAGCGATCAGTGGTGTGGAGTGCAGGAGTGATACGGCAGGTCCATTCCCTTGGATCTATTGCTCACGAGAAGTACTTTTGCGATTGAGACTCTTCGCTAGGTCCGGCCGTCATCCAGAGTTGGTACTGGGGCATTGAAAACAGACGGGCTAGTGAAAAGAGTTCCGATCTGTGATGGGATCGAGCGATAGCTCTGATATGAGGCGAAGCAACAACCTTGTGGTGGCTGTGGCCTACTGTAACAGCGGTGGTAGCTTCTGCAAATGTGGCTGCGAACTCAATCGCTAGAGGCGATGAGCTTGGGCGACCAGCGGTGCAATGCCACTCCCACTAGAGGCGACGAGCCTCAATAGCCATGGACTGCGAGCTTCGTCGATCAACAGTAATGGGGTGCATTCTCGGACGGCTAGGCGACCAGCAACCATGACTCACCGATCCGTGGCGGGGTGACCAATGGACAAGGCAACCCACGGCGGTAATCATTGAGGCAACCCACGACGGTCAGGGATGAGCGGACCTACGGAGGAATCTGGTAGCTCTCCCCCAGATCCTTGCTAATCTGGTCACCAAGACAAAACCAAGGAGTGGGAAGCAACTTTGGTTGTATATCCGGCTAGGAACCTTGGCACAGATATCTGTCTCGAAGGAGGAACTCAACAGTTTCTTTAAATGTATCTATTTTTAGAGAAGAGTAATGCTCCTAACCCGTGAATGGTCAACGACAGAGCAAGAACAAGGCAACCCGCGGCGGTCAGCGACTCACGCGGTCGGATATGGGGTGACCTGCGAATGGCCAGCGACAGCGACCTGCGATGGTCAGCAACAAGGCGACCCGCGGCAGTCAGCGACGAGGCGACCCGTGGCGGTCAGCGACGAGGCGATCCGCGGCGGTCAGCGACGACGTGACCCGCGGCTGTCAGCGACGACGCGACCCGCGGCGGTCAGCGACGAGGCGACCCGTGGCTGTCAGCGTCGAGGCTACCCGCGGCAGTGAGCATCGAGGCAACCCCCAGCAGTCAGCGACGAGGCGACCCGTGGCGGTCAGCGTGGAGGCCACCCACGACGGTCAGCTTCGAGGCGACCCGCGGCGGTCAGCGACGAGGCGACCAGCGGAGGCTTTGACGAGAGGAGGCTGAGGCGGTTCGAGGACGACGGAGAACAACCTGCCATGGTCTCTCTCCCCCTTTTTTGAACTGGTGGCGGGCTTGTTCGCCCTCACAGCGGTTGTGAGCCCTGGGTGGCGCGACCGACTGCACGTGAAGCCCCACCCCTCCGATGCAATTACTACTCTGGATCTGAATCGACACGTTGAACTGCAGCAGACAGCGGGAGAGACGCGATCTCCCCAGCGGTTGCGATCTGGGACCTCGACGACGTTCAGCGGTGGGGTGACCTACAACGAAATCCGGCGAGGTTGTTCCCTAGATCTACTCCTCCTCTGGTCCTGGTGAACTCAGCACGAAGGTTCAGCGAATACATCTGTAGTTGGATCCGGACGAGAGACCTTGGGACAGAGATTTGGATCTATATTTCTTTTTCTTTTTTTAGAGAAGTAATGCTTGTAACCCGTCAGACACAGAGGATATCCCTTGAGCATTATTTCTATACTGGAGTGAAGTTGTAACAAGGTAGCCGTACTGGAAGGTGCGGCTGGATCACCTCCTTTTCAGGGAGAGCTAATGCTTGTTGGGTATTTTGGTTGGCACCGCACGGACCAAACTCATGAGCTTATTATCCTAGGTCGAAATCAAGTTGATAGGATCCCGCATGTGCCTCCGGTGACATGGGCTTTGGCATCGCGAGTCCCCCCACCCCAGTCGGAGGCTCGCACGACGGGCTATTAGCTTAGTAGTAGAGCGCTTGCCTAGGCGTTGCCTTACAGTTGCCTTACTCGCCTTGACGCCTTGGGCCCCTCTAAAATTTTGAAAAGTCCAATTTTTTAGTGTAGCCCAATTATTTTGAAAGCCTAATTTAAAATGTTTAAAAAGATTTGACTTAAACTTGTGATCCACTTGTGATATATATATGTGTTGTGTGTGTGTGTGTATGTATGTATGTACACGCACACACACACACACATATATATAGGTTGCTTAGGCGATATGAAGGTACGTTTGTGCCTTACAAACTATGGTGGTAGTTGGTCATTCGTTTGGGTTCCTTAGATGGATCGTTGATATTGTGCTCACATGTGTTTCGAAATGAAGAAAAAGTACTTTGCACAGATCCATTAATAATTAAATATTGTGCAGAACATAATTTTGAAAAATTGCCCAAAAAAACAGGCTTCAAAGACAAAAAATAAAAAATGTATACAAAACTTGGTTAGTCTAAGAAAAAAGGAAATTCACAAAATATTCCCATTAAGTTGACTTTTATCCCCCCCCCCCCCACACCCAAAAAAAATTAAAGCATTAATATAAAAATTGAAAAGAAAACTTACCGTGAACTAGGGGTGAAATACTTAAAAACAAAAAGACGGAGAACATACCACCTGAAGAGATCCGGCAGAGCAGATATCAACAGTCGTAGCTTGTTACGTCGACCAACCTTGAGACTGATCATTTTTTGCAGGCAGTACCACTCCATTGGAAGATTTAAATTTCCTCTTTCAATCCCACCAAGACTCAACACCACCTAGGAAAACTAGTGACATCCTCCAATCATCATTGAGAAGGGTTGATAAAAATATTTCCTTCAATTGATGGAATTCAAAAGAGAGTGCTCTAATCTTCCTTTGATTTGCTAAGGTTGCTTTGTTTGCTTGAGTCCTGAGAATCCTGAGATAGAGTTTGCATTGTTGTAGATCATGGTCTGTGTTTTTTTATATTTCTTGGCATTGCTCTTTTCTTTCTTTTGTTCTTGATCTTGTTCTCAAATATGAATTCCTTAGCTTTTCAAACTCGTGTATTGGAATATCGGTTGAATAGGAATAACTCAAAAATATCAATTGGCTGGTTTCTTTGGAAAGTCCAGGCTGATCTTAACTTTTAATTCATGATCTTCTGGATCAGTTCCTTTTGTATGGTAGTCAATTAATGGCAAGTCCGGCTCTATGAGATAATGTCTTCCTGCCGTTGCTAAAGCTATCTCCTTGAGCTTTCAATAATGAAAGAAGTGTCGTCATTTGAACTACATTAGAGTTGTAGAAGGTAATACTAGCCTTTTGGTTTAATGTGGGACAATTGATCCTCTTGCCCGAGCTTTCTGAAGACTGAAGCTTAGACTTTTCTGTTCTGACCCTTCTGATGTTTGAACCCTTTGATCTGATTGAGCTTTTTTTCAATTTGATCCTTTTTTATTCTTAATGCTTGCTGATGTATCATAGTTATGATCTAACAAGCTTGGTGTTCTGCTAGCTTCCTGCTATGTGAGTTGTCTTAAAATTCCTTAGCCTTCTGGTAAACTCTAGTGTTCTGATAAATTTAGTGTTCTGCATTCTGGCTAAATATTCTTTATCCATAACTACTGCCCTTTTTTTCAGCAGGATGTTTCTAGAAACAAATTACATAATTTGAGATTTCTATAAATGAGTCATGTACATACTACAAATATCATCATCAAAACATATTACAATAATACACAAATTGCTTTTTTGAGTTAGTAATCTTTTGAACTGCTACAAGTCTTGCAACGTTTTTTCTTCCAACATTTATGCTATAATTGCCTCTTTGTTAGGTTAATGGTTGTGTCCCTACTTTTATAGATCGGATATGACCAAGGATCAAATGCTTGTAGATCTTGCATTTAAGACAAAAATTTTGCTATGGAGTGGGATTGTATTCAGCTCAGTTGCAATTGGTATCCTAAGCTATGCCGCTGTAAGGTACATGAATGCAATTTTACCTCTGCGCTTCCCTTGCTGTTCTTTACATTTCTGTTGGGTTTCATACTACTTATTGCTTTGAAGAAAAGTGAATGTATTGATTTTTCAACTGCATAATACATCAAACAAAAAAGTGATTTCTTATTCATAGTGTCTGCTTGGTAGGGATTATTCGAGAGCTTATAACTTATTTTGAACTCCAAAGATGAAAGAAGTTGTTTGTTCTGTATGGATGAATAATGTAAGTAAATAAAGTAAGCTTTTTATTGAAAAGCTTTCTATATGCAGTATCTTAGGAAAAAATGAGCTACTATATCTTTAATTCCTTCCACTATTCACCCTCTTCTTTTCCAAGACACAAAGTTTTTGTCTCCATCTTTTATTCATGTAGAAATGTGCTTTTTGATCTTGGAAAAATTCATGTCAATACTCCCAGATATATGAGATTTTACTGAAATCTTCAAGATTGCATAATTATCATGAAAACTCCTAGAATTTAATACTTTAACAATAATACTCCAAGATTGCATATTGATGTACACCTAAATTATCGGGAAGTTCTTTTGGAGACTTGTAGTATTATTGTAAGAATATTTAATTCCTGAGAGCATTGGTGATAATTATGAAATCTTAGAATATTCGTGTAAAATCTTGAACCTCTAGGAGTATTGACTTGATTTTTTCCTTTGATCTTTCCAAACACATCACTCCCAATTACTAATTATGCTAACCAATTCTATCATATTCACAACTTGTGAATTTCAGCTTCTAGCTATTAGCCTTTTTCAGTTTTCACTTTTCAGCAAACTTTTCAGATCAGTGTTCCAAATAGACCAATAGTCACATCTCAACAGCACATCCATGTTTAAACTTTAAAATTATTTCAGGAATTGGAACAGATGGAAAGTATGGAGACAGCAGAGGCAGTCTCAATCTCAACAGCAGAATATTGATTCGGATCCTCAACTTGCAGGAGATGAGGAAACTGGGGATGTTCCGGATGGTCAGCTGTGTGTCATTTGTCTTACAAGAAGGAGACTTTCTGTTTTCGTGCCATGCGGGCATCTTGCGTGTTGCCAACGGTGTGCCTTGTTAGTTGTACGGGATTCATCACCCAAATGTCCAGTTTGTAGGCAGGCCATTACAAATGCCGTGAGGATGTACGATTCTTGATTGCTACTGACACGTATGCTTTTTGGTAACTAGCACACTACTGCCTAATGTCTATCCCTTTAAAAAAAAATAGAGTTTAGATTTTACAAAATAGTATCACTGGTTCGGTGCTCGATCAGTTCTGAAAATTAGCCATTTCACCAGGTTATTTATACTAATTTGAGGCTAATAATCTGATACAAATTGCTTGTGTATATATGGTTTTCCCAAGGTGGGAATTCTATAATCAGGAGCCACGTAACTCTTAGATCATATACCTTGTGAGGTTTTAGGAATTGTTTTTTCCATAGTTTTTACAACGGAACTGGTGATCGAGTCGGTCAAGGCACAGGTTCACTGGTTTACTGGTTGAACCATTGGTTCGAGTGGTTGAAGTGTTGAACCAGTGGTTCAAACATTTTTACTCTCTCCGTCCCATTTTATAATGCCTGTTTCGGTTTACGATGTTTGACTGAAATTATTTTCAAACCATTTTATATGACAAATAGTATAGAATTAAAAAATAAAAATTACATATTAAAAAACTACTTCAAAAAATTTACAAAGCTAGTATTGACAATAATATTTTATTTTATCAAATTGCTAACGAAAATAGAGAAAAAAAGTGAATGAAGTTTGACCCTGTGAATAGTGAACATGTATTATAATTTGGGATGGAGGAGTAACAAATAGATAAATACTCCCTCCGTCCCAAATTATAATGCCTGTTCACTATTCACAGGGTCAAACTTCATTCACTTTCTTTCTCTATTTTCGTTAGCAAATTGATAAAATAAAATATTGTTGTCACTACTAGTTTTGTAGATCTTTTGATGTAGTATTTTGATATGTAATTTTTATTTTTTAATTCTATACCATTTGTCATATAAAATGATTTGAAAATAACTTCAGTCAAACATCGTAAACCGAAACAGGCGTTATAAAATGGGACGGAGGGAGTATATATAAAGAAATAAATATTATATATATATATATATGTATGTGTGTATATATATATATATATAAATACACAGACATAGACACACACACACAGATACATATATATATATATATATATATATATATATATATATATATATATATATATATATATATATATATATATATATATATATATATATATAGACACACACACACACACCCCCACACGCATTGTGGCATTAAATTAAAAAAACTAATATATGAGTAAATTAAAAAATATTTCCTTTGTTTATAAATAAAGAATTAATGTTGCACTAATTTATAATTTAACTTAATTTACTTGAGTTGTGTCATTCAAGAAAAAATAGTATTTACTTGTTTAAAAGAGCTTATAAATAAAAAGTGATTTGAATATTTTTGAACATTTTACTTAGTATTTAAAAATATACTCCTTCCGTCCGGGAATGATGTTCCCAGTTTGACTTTTCCTCATTTTTAAGAGGGCTTGACTAAGGCCTTAAAATGACAAATATACGCTCCCACTAGCACATCACTGCCAGCCCACCTCCAGTGACACCCTCTGCCGTCACTCCGTCAGCCCCACCACCACCCCACCTCCCATCGCCGTCGTCAGCCCCATCATCTCTGCCAGCCCACACCTCCATCTCCCATTGCCGCAAACAACGCCGGAGAAAGAGAAAAGGGAAAGAAAGAAAAAAGTGGAGGAAAGAGAAGGAGATCTCCGTCGAAGATAAAGACGAAGATCTACCACGACCACCGCCGTCTACCCAACCATCGCCGCCACAGCCCCATCATAGCCGTCACCATGGCACAGATCTAAAAGATAGATCTAAAAGAAAGAATAAGGGGAAAGAAAAGGAGAAGTGCAGATCTAGACTCACCATCGCCACTACCGCTGCCGTCACCATCGCCGCCACCGTCGCCGTCACCATTTCCGCCACCGTCCCCGTTACCATCACCGCCACCGCCGCTGTCACCGCTATAAGCAGATCTAGAAGAAATGTGGAGGAGAAAGTAGAAGGGGATAAAGAAGAAGAAAGAAAACGGGGGAGAAAGAGAAGAGGAGGCAGAGGAGGAGAGAAGAGAAAGAGGTAAAAGAGGAGGAATGAAGGTGATGGGTTGGGGAAGAAAGGAAGGGAAGAGAAAGTGGCGGAAGGAAAAAAGGAAGAAAAGAAAGAAAGGGAGGAAGATGAGGGTAGTTTTGGAAGAATAGAGAAAAAAAGGTAGAATGAGAACATCATTCCCGGACGAAAAAAAACGTAGACTGGGAACATCATTCCCGGACGGAGGGAGTATATAAAATATTTGTGTGATATGCACTCCATATCAATTACATCAGGTTTTGAATTTTAGTTTAAAAACTATAGATATTTTTAAAGTAATTGATAATTTTTTTTAAAAATAAAGTGTATCTAAAACGAATCATTTAGTGTCACCATCCACAATCGTAGAGGAGATGGTCCGTAGTGGCCCCTTTCTCCCTTGCAATCCAGTTTTCGAATCCCGTGTTCGTCTTTTTATAAAAAATCTTCAATGAAGAATTAGAAAACCGGTTTGGGCAGTAAAAATCGGTTGGCACCGCGAAATGTGGTCTGATTGCCTAGATCGGACCTGTTTGGTGTATGGTTCACCGGTTCCCGATCTGAACTGGCTAGTCTGGTTTTTAAAACTATGATTTTTTCATTGAATTCTAATGCCTCTCCTTGACCGTTGCAGTAAATTTCTCCCTCAAGTTTTCATTAGAAATCATCAGATGCGTTGTATACATACGGAGTATTAAAAAAAAAATCATTTTAGGTTTCAAAGTTTTGTTAAAAAGAGAAGGGTTGGGGGTGAAAAAGTATCATGATCTAAATGTGTGCGTCAACCACCTCATTTTTCGAAGTTCACAAACCTGTTATTTGTGATTTTGTGGTGGTGCCCCACATGAGTTTTGTCCATGAAGTGAAAAAATAGGGTGGTTTGAAATTGGTATCCAATTAGTTTAATCAACTAAAAAATAGCACTCCCTATTTTGCTTTAAACTTAATCACGGACAACAATACAAAGTACTCTAACGTTAAAAATAAATTGATAGAGCAACAGACCCACCACCCTCAAAATTTATATCAGATATTAATAGCTTGATACAGTTGTACGGAGTTTGTTAGTAGTTGTTACATGGTTGTTAGAAATTGATAGTTTGCTAGTTGAGGTGGCAGGGCAATGTCACCACAATTCTTGATGATTTTTAATGAAATGGGTAGGCATTGCAAGCTTACATATGGTGGAGAAGGCTAAAAATTGGGTTACTAGCTACATGTCTTTTAGAAAGTATGTTGCTTGGCATGAATTCATCATCCATAAGAGTCATCCATATGAGTGCCAGGTTTAGAGATGAGATGCGGCATAATGTTTTAGAATAGTTTAAAAGGCTAGAACAAAAAAGATTACTTGAAATTTACATCGATGAATTTGAGGATATGAGGTCAGTGTTGAATCATAGCCATTTTCCTAATTCTTTCATTTATCGGTGGATTGAAGTCTTTCGTTAAACTGTTCGCTAATGCATTTAAATCTAGTGGTATAGCCCAAGCAATTAAATATGCTACGTTAAAGGAGCCATTGGAAATGCAAGGTTCAAGGTTCTCTAAATTCAATCCCTCCTGCAACCATAAATTTTTTTGGGGAAGGCTTCAAAGCCTTCACAAACAATTCATCAAAACCTGCTCTGGTGCCTACTCCTCAAGTTAAACCTGCCAGTTTCCAAAAATACACTTGCCACTAACTCTGGCCTAACAAAAACTTTAAGTACATACCTACTGATGTGATGGCTGAAAAAATAGCCAAAGGATTGTGCTACTATTGTGATCAACCTTTCGAGGAGGGGCACAAGTGCATTTTAAAAGAGCAATAGATGTTTACAGTTGAAGTTCCTGTTGAGGAAGCTTATCACAATGAGTAGGAAGAATGTACAACTCCCTATTTGGAAAATCATTAAGTGAGAAGGGAGAAAGTTTTGTTGCTTGCATTTCTGTACAAGCTCTAACCAGAGGGCACAATTACCAGAAAATGAGATAATGGAGATGGTTGGTTGGAGGCCCATTCACATATTGGTTGACTCTGAAAGTTCTCATAATTTGCTGAATTTTGACACTACAATAAGTTCTAGGCAGTGGCAGTGGCAGATGGGAATAAAATCACTTGTCAATATGCTTGTGCAAATGCAAGAGAGAGAATTCACCAAAGATGTCTTATTGATTTCACTAGGCAATTTTGACATGGTTTTAGAAATCCAAAGGCTGGAAACATTAAGACCAATCTATTGGGATTTCAAGGAAATGACTATGAAATTTGACTGGAAGGAAGGCTCATTCTTGTTGAAAGGAATGGTGAACAGGATACTGAAGGTGGTGGGACTCCAGGTGTAACACCCCAACCCGCATAACCCGAATAAATAGATTAGCGAACCGGGTTGCTACTAAATTGGTATTCACATACAATATTTTTCAATAAATAAAAACATTTAATTTAAAAACTAAAACAATTCAAACCATTTAATTTACATATCAGAGTTTATACAAATAGTGCGGAAGCCTTGTAATTAAATCAAACATTCTTTAATCACTGCATCCGTACATCTCCTCCGTCACGCTGCGCTCTGGGATGTACTTCAAGGTCAACCCCTCCATGATTACCTACGTGTAACAAGGGGAAAAGAGGCTACACGCTCAGCAACGAAGCTGAGTGAGAAATATCTAACAGTTCAAACATACACATATGCGAATTCACTAATTCATAATCATAACATGATATCATGCAGATAGGTTTAATATCATGCAGTTCACATAAACAATTCATCATGTAGTTTACCTGGCACCCGCCCTTTCCTATTCTCATCAAAACGAAGCGTCTCTTGCAGTGGTGGATCACCAGTCATCTGTACATGAACTCTACACTAGACTAATGACTTACTAATTTTCTGGGAGTCATGATTGTTCCCAGTGGATCAGCGGATCATGCTCAACAAACGAGGGAGTTCTCACTGTTGGTGGATCACCAAGAACTTGTCCCTATTAATTATACTAATATAAGGACTATAACTTTACTGTATGGGAGACATGAGGGTTCCCACTGGATCAGCAGGTCATGCTCAACCAACGAAGGAGTTCTCCATTGGGTGGATGGAATCCCCACCTGATGGATCACCAGGCAGTTCAAGAATACCCGTACGTACGTTTTACCCGGTTCGACTTACCACCTGGTTTATACTCTTAACTTCCTATATTTATGTCAGTCCCAAAGATTCCCTTTGGGTAGACTTACCTTACTAACGCGTTGGATCAACACGCAGTACCTGTTTGTTGTGTGCTGGATCAGCCCACTCATACTTGCAATATCATATCCAAACATATGTATTTCATATAATCACACACGTGTTGGATCACCATAATAATATTAGTTCACATAAGTGTTGGATTAACACAGAGCGATCACAATCATAACACATAGCGGCCTAGAATTGGGTATTGATACCCAAACTTACCGTCATTCAACACATAGGGTCTCAGAATCAATCCTTGACAAAAACGCATATCGACAGTACCTGTCACGGTAGGGGGTACCGTCCATACGGTACCTGGATACCGGTCCTACGGTAACAGGGTACCGACCGAACCATCTGGCTCTTCAGTGGGACTGTCACGATAGCCGACTACCGACTCGGCGGTAGGGCCTACCGTCCGTCCGGTACCTAGGTACCGAACGGTCACAACTACCGTCAGAGGGGAACGGAACAAATAGAGTATGACGGTAGCCAGTACCGTCCTGGCGGTACCGCCTACCGTCTAACAAAATAATTTTTCTAACTTCTTACCTGTTTCATTTTTCAGCAACAAATCAACGACAATATCATAACAACCAACACCTATAGGCTCATATTGACGTTCTAAACATTATCAATCACTTTAACTCGTAATCAACGCCTAATCATGTGTACTACCCTTTTTGATTAATATAATCCCCAGAATTACAATCAAGCAATTCAACGAAGTAATTCACATAGATCAATCATGATGACAATTATGAACGGAATTTCAAACATATATGCACATTCTAGTGTTAGATGTCCACGTACTCACCTCGATTCGTCGATTAGAATTCATCATCGGGATATATTCATCCCGTTGCCTGAACCGATACGGCTGCCCAAATTGCCCCCGCTGCCCGGAATGGCTGGAACACAGAGGGGGGGGGGTCGCCGGAGCTGCTAGGGTCGTTCGCCGGAACAGAGAACAGCCCCGCCGGAGTCAGAATCGTTAGCCGGCGCTGGACTTGCTGGTCTACCGGCGTCCTCTCGTCGTCCACCGGAGACATTGGGGTCGCCAGCGCTGGACTTCGTCTCTCGCCGATTGAGACATCGCCGGCCTAGATCGTTGCCCCTCGTCACTGTCCACGCCGGAGCTCCAATCTCCGCCGGTTGTCATCGTCGGATCTGCTCGCCTCGCTGCCAAATCCCTAGGCCGCCGTGGTCACGAGCTTTGGGTCGCCGGTGGGAGTCGCTGTCCCGGTCACCGTCGCCGTGCCCCTGTGCTGCTGTGACGGATCGAAGAAGAAGGAGGAGGATGGCGGCGGTTGAGTCGAAGAAGAAGAAGAAAACGGGAGAGGGAGTATTTATATTTCTAGGGTTTTGTGCTTTGTAGTCTAAATTAACGTGTCTGAGTAAAAACACATTTTTCGGGCCAACTTGCTCCGAATTGAGATCCGTTCGCGTCGTTGAATTCGATTCGTCGATCCCTACCCAATGATATAACTTTTATAATCATTCAACAAGTATTTACAGGTTCCTCCTGGTCCGTATTGATTCTTTTGTTTAATTAGTATCGATCAGTCTTTTACTTTAAATATTTACAAATATAATCAGATTAGTTTTATTATATTGAGACGATTAAGTCTCTAAAGTACCTTCTAATTCTTTAAAAGAATAGATTGTCGTAAATAAATAATTCTTATTTATTTAATTATTATATAACTTCTAGACCGGTTTCTAGGGCGTTACACCAGGTCCAAAGGTGTATAACAATTCTATTCAATTTTGCCTACTGCAATATTTACCTGCAATATTTACCGAGATTGACAAAGACATCTCCAGCATGATACAATATGGTGAAACCACATGGCAGATTGTTCTGGATATGAAATTGGAAGAATTTCAGATAGACTCCATTATGCTCTTTGAAGATCCCATAGAGTTGCCACCTTATAGAGGGGGGTCTTTGATCACATGATTCTTTTGGAACTAGAGGCAAGGCCTGCCAATATTAGACCTTACAAGTATCCTTTGAAAAAAAGAGATGTCATTGAGAAGTTGGTGCAAGATATGCTAAACAGAGGAATTATTTAACATAATGCTAGCCCTTTTGCTTCACATGTGGTCCAGTGGGAAAAAAAGATGGTACATGGAGGTTGTGCATAGATTTTAGAGAGTTGAACAACAAAGCTATAAAGAATAGATTTTCTATTCCTATAGTGGAAGAATTGATAAATGAGCTAGCTGGAGTATAAGTGTTTGCTAAGCTGGACTTAAGGGCAAGATACCATCAATTGAGAATCCATCCATCATACAAGACAACCTTTAAGATTCACACAGGGCATCTTAAGTTTTTAGTAATGCAAATGCCTCTACTTCAAATGATATGTGAAGCTCAGTACCCTGTAGAGAGAAGAGTCCTTAAAATTGACTCAAGAATATGGCTTCTCTATCACAAACAATACTCTTAATCAACCATGCGGTTTGAAGACATTATCCAAGTAGGCATGGCTACCTCCAATGCTGTGAAAGGATGCTTCAAGGCTATGAAATGAGCATACTTGCTCAATCTGTCCACTACAACAAGGATTACCTCCTTGACCATATATTTAGGAAGACCATAAATGAAATCCATTGAAATGTCTAGCCAAATTGATAGGAGCTGTTTAGGAAGAAGCTGGTAAACCCTAGGCTACCAACGTTGGGTTGGCGCTAGAGTTACTGCCGAACGGGAAAAGAGGGAAAAGAGAGAGTGTTTACTACTATTCTAAATTGTATTATTGCCTGACTTCTTTGAAACAAGTTCCTCGGTTTATATAGACGAGAAACCCTAACCCTGTCGGTTCAACAAAGGCGTCAAGGGAAAGAACCGAAAAGAAAACCCTTGAAGGGGCTTATACTCCGCCCACCTAATAAAATCTAAAATACAAGAAGAAAGAATTAAAAATAAATAGTTTCTAAACATAGTCATTGAAACGTCGCGGGCGACGTATGTTCTGGCGCGGCCGCGTTACTTCTTTTGGGCCGTCTTGTTCGCCATCTGACCGGTCGTCGGTGTGCGTTGGGCCCGTGTCACTTGCATGGCCCTCTACGTGCAATGGACCCATATCAACTCCCCCGGGGTTGAGAACGACCTTGTCCTCAAGGTCGAGTGTCGGATAATTACGACGAAGACTGTCCACTGGTTCCCAGGATGGGTCGATGCCTCCATCATCTGACCACCGAACTAGGCACTGCTCCTGCGGCTGTCCGTCAATCAGCACCGTGCGTCGTGGGCCGGCAGACACGGGAATGGCCATGACCTGTCCACGTGTGATATCATCTGGAAGAGATGGCTCGGGCAGTGGCTGGCCACCGGACACAAAGGGCCGTAGTAAAGAGACGTGAAAGACGTCGTGGATCTTGCACCCCTCCGGAAGCCGAAGTCTGTACGCCACGGGCCCAATACGTTCAAGCACCTCGAATGGGCCGTAATAGCGTCGAGCAAGCTTAGAAGGGCGTGGCCTGGCCAAGGAGTGCTGCCAGTGTTGCTGCAATTTGAGGAGTACGTAGTCCCCGACATGGAAACTAACATCCCGGCGGTGGAGATTCGCCCGCTCACGCATGCGTTGTTGCATTTTAGCCAGATTGTGCCGTAGGTCCTCTAGCACCGCAGCCCGGTCGCGCAACATTTCCTCGACGGTGGCCACTTTAGCACGGACAGCGAGGGTTGGAAAAAGGTGAGGGGGTGTGCGCCCATATAAAGCCCGGTATGGCGACATGTTAAGTCCGTCATGGTGACTGCAATTGAGAGCTAGCTCTGCCCACGGAAGAAAAGTGGCCCATTTGTGCGGTCGCTCGAAAATGAAAGCCCGAAGATATTGCTCAAGTTCGCGATTCATGACCTCGGTTTGGGGGTGGTAAGCCGTGCTAAATTTCAGTGTCGTTCCACTCAATTTCATCAATTCACGCCAAAAGGAACTCATAAACACCGAATCTCGATCCGAAATGATCGTCGAAGGGAACCCATGGTGTTTCACGACGGTGTCAAGGAAGAGGTGCGCTACGCGTGGGGCGTCAAAGCCGGTCGGTAACAACCCGAAGTGAGTATATTTAGAGAGCCTATCGACGACCACCATAATCACCGTGATCCCCCGGGACGGCGGCAATCCAGTGATGAAATCCATGGAGACGGAGTCCCACACAACCGTGGGGATGGGAAGGGGCTGTAATAAGCCAGCGGGCCGTTGCGTTGAATATTTGGTTGCCTGACATGGGACGCATGCTGCCACAAATTGCCGGACGTCCCGTCGCATACCTCTCCAGTAAAACACATCGGCGACCCGTTTGAAGGTGCGGTCGACCCCCTAATGACCTGCGATCGGCGTGCTGTGAAATTCATAGAGAGTGGTCGTGCGCAGGGAGGAGGAGGAGCTTATATATATCCGATATTTGTAATACAATATGCCATCATGAAGAGTAATATGGGTTGGGGCTGTTCCATGCTGTACGGCCGAATGGAGGGTCTTACAATCCTCCAGTAATGCATTATCACGGCGAATGTCCTGCAAAAGTGTGGGGATCGGCTGTGCAAAGGCCAAGAATACTGCAGCCGGTTCGTCTGAAGTCTGGCCGTCCATAACGTCGCGACGTGAGAGAGCATCTGCAACTTTGTTAGAAGCACCGGGTTTGTATTCAATGCGGAATTTGAACCCCATCAACTTCCGGATGTAGAATTGTTGATCTGGGGTTTGAATGACCTGACAGAGGAGATCTTTTAGGCTCTTTTGGTCACTGCGGATCACGAACTCATGGCCAAGGAGGTATTGTCGCCACTTGTGCACAGATTCAACAATGGCGTAGAGTTCCTTGTGGTATGTGGATGCCGCACGCCGCCGCGGACCAAGCTTTTTGCTGAAAAATGCCAGAGGATGGCCCTGCTGTAATAACACGACTCCAATGCCGACATCTGATGCGTCCGTTTCGAGATAAAAAGTTAGACCAAAGTCCGGCAGCCGGAGAACTGGAGCGGTAACCATGGTGTGCTTTAATTGGTTGAAACTGGCCTCGGCAGCCTCATTTTACCCGAACCCAGACTTCTTTAAAAGATCAGTAAGGGGGGCGGCTAACATGGCATAACCCGCTACGAAACGCCGATAGTAACCAGTAAGGCCTAAGAAGCCGCGTAACTGGGTGACCGAGGCCGGCCGCGACCAGGAGATCATCGCCTCTATTTTGGACGGGTCCGGTTGTAATTCGTCAACGGTGACAATATGCCCAAGGTACTCGATTGTTGCTTGACAAAAGGAGCACTTAGAGAGCTTGACGAAGAAAGCCAGCGTATGAAGGGTGTGGAGAACCAACTGAAGATGGGTGGCATGGGTTTCCACTGACGGGCTGTAGACTAGAATATCATCGAAGAACACAATGACGAATTGTCGTAGATACTCACGAAACAAGGCATTCATAGCCGCTTAAAATGTTGAAGGAGCATTGGTGAGCCCAAACGGCATAACGAGGAACTCATAGTGTCCTTCATGCGTACGGAAGGCGGTCTTAAAAATATCGGCCTCATTCATTCTGATTTGGTGGTAACCGGAACGCAAATCCAATTTAGTGAATACCCGTGCATGCCCCAATTCATCGAAGAGTTCGTCCGAGGTGGGTATAGGAAAATGATCCGGCGTTGTCACCGCATTCAAGGCTCGATAATCGACGCAAAACCGATAAGATCCATCCTTCTTGCGGACCAATAATACCGGAGAAGAGAACGGGCTCTGACTCGGCCGAATGAGGCCGTGCTGAAGCATCTCACGCACCTGTCGTTCGATCTCCGTCTTTTGGAAGTACGGGTACCGGTAGGGCCGAACATTGACGGGCTTGGCCGTGGGGTCCAAGTGAATCCTATGATCCCATGCGCGAACCGAGGGCAACTCCTGTGGTAGGTGAAACACGGACGAGTAGGAGTCCAATACGGCCCTGACTGGCAGTGGTATATTCTCCGGAAAACTGACCTCGTCTCCCGCTGCAGGTGGTGGGGGGTGATCTGTAGGTAGCAATTCAAAGAATTCCAGAGAGGTATGGGCTGCCAACGAACACAAATGGCTGAAGGAGATTGGCCGTGGGACTGTCACGTCACCCGGAACGTCACTGTCGCACCATTCCAAGCGAATTCCATCGTCATATTGGCGTAGTCGTGAGAAACCTTGCCCAAAGTTTGCAGCCATTGCACTCCTAAAACCATATCCGGCCCATGAATTTCCAACAAATAAAGATCTACCTCAAAAAGAACACCCTGTAGGAGCAGTGGGGTACGTGGGCAGGAATACACACAACGCAAAGAATCCCCGTTCCCGACATATACCCGAAACGGTGGAACCGGATGGAGTACCAGAGACAATCGTTCGGCTACGGTTGGGTGAACGAAGTTATGAGTGCTACCCCCATCTAACAAGACGTGCACCGCTTGCACGTGTACCATTCCGACTAACTTGAGAGCATGAGGGCTCGGGCTTCCGGCTAAGGAATTGAGAGTAGAGACGTCACCCACGATCACCCCATCATCGACGGGCGGAGATTCGTCCTCAAGATGGGAGCCGGAATCGTCATCGTCGTCGGGTCCCATATAAGCCAAGAAACGACCCTTGCAATGGTGACCGGGGACCCACTTGTCGTCGCAATACCAACACAACCCTTTCTTGCTTCGTTCATGTTTTTGGGCCGAAGTAACCTTCACGATGCTGGGCAGCCGAAGGGGTCGACGATTTGCCAGTAGAGGAAACCCCCGGGACAGTAGCGCTGGCAGGGCTAGCAGTTGGTGTGCTGGAGGTGGAATGAACGGGCTGCCGGCCAGACCAAGGACGCCGGAACGAGCTGGACTCGTTATGGCAGGCGGACAATTCCCGAGCCAAACCAAAAGCTTCCTGGAGTGTGCGAGGGTTGCGCAAATTAACCTCACGTTGTACGGGTTGGCGTAGGCCAGAAACGTACATAGCGATGAGGGTTTGTTCAGGGACGCCGGATATTTTGTTAAGTATGGATTCAAAAGCAGTTTGATAATCAAGCACTGTCGTAGATTGCTGTAGTTTAGATAAAGATCCAATATAGTTTTCATAATAATCGAGGTCGAAGCGTTGACGCACGGCAATGAGAAACGCCTCCCAACTCGTGCCACATGTATTGGTTTGGTAATAACGAAACCAATCCGATGCCGGATAGTCTATCAACATCGCGACCAGCTGCAAACGTTCACACTCCGGTGTTTGAAAATAATTGAAGTAATTGTGGATCCGGAAAATCCATCCCGCCGGGTCGTCACCATTGAAACGTGGAGCCTCAACCCGTATTCTGGGAATGGCGTTGTTGTGAGGGCTGGGGCCAGGAGCACGCACAGGAGGGGGGCGCCAACCCGTCGGTGGAGGTTTATTCCAACGAGGCTCCGCGTGCGAACCAGAGGCCGTCAAGGTCGAGACCTGCAACTTCGTGGCCTGCAACTCAGTGCTCAAGTTGTTGATGGCTTTCATAAGATCGTCCAAGGTCAGGGGTGGTGTCGCTGTAGAATCCGGGGTAGGCGTCGTCATGAGAACGTCAACGAGAGCACCAATTGATAGGAGCTGTTAGGAAGAAGCTGGTAAACCCTAAGCTACCAACGTTGGGTTGGCGCTAGAGTTACTGCCGAACGGGAAAAGAGGGAAAAGAGAGAGTGTTTACTACTATTCTAAATTGTATTATTGCCTGACTTCTTTGAAACAAGTTCCTCGGTTTATATAGACGAGAAACCCTAACCCTGTCGGTTCAACAAAGGCGTCAAGGAAAAGAACCGAAAAGAAAACCCTTGAAGGGGCTTATACTCCGCCCACCTAATAAAATCTAAAATACAAGAAGAAAGAATTAAAAATAAATAGTTTCTAAATATAGTCATTGAAACGTCGCGGGCGACGTATGCTCCGGCGCGGCCGCGTTACTTCTTTTGGGCCGTCCTGTTCGCCATCTAACCGGTCGTCGGTGTGCGTTGGGCCCGTGTCACTTGCATGGCCCTCTACGTGCAATGGACCCATATCACAAACTCCCTCAAGAATGGGTAATGGATGGAGCAGTCCTGGGCTAGCAAGAGTCTCATATTTAGAAGTTGACATTCTAAAGAGTTCCTTACAAAGTGACTCACTATTTTTGTCATCCCCCTCCAGTAGAATAAAACTTTAACCTTCCTCAAGGTTCCTTCCCTCCTAGAGTGACCCCCTTCTAGACTAGAATGGTTCCATTTAATGGTATCACCCGTCAACTAACTATTAGGGCCTATTTCTAACTTCTATTTTCTCGTGAAGTATCCCTCTTGAAATGTACGGTGCTTCACAGGTTGGGGAGTTTGAAGAGATTTGATGATATATTCCAAATTTAGATCAAGGGAGTAAGTGGCTTGGATTTTTTTTCCCAAATCTAAAGATACTAATGAAATGGCCATTAATAATAGTTTTATCCATGCACCAGAAGCCACATTTTCTTTTCCACTTATGTAGCCAATTTTATAGTCAAGCCCAAACAATTTAGAGATCCAAAACTGTTGAAAGGGTGTGAATACCCTTTTTTTGTAAAAGCCATTTTAAACTTTTTTTTATCAGTATTAATGATGAAGTGATTACCCATTAAGTATTGCTCTCACTTTTGTAATGCAAAAACAATGACCAATAACTCATTCTCATACATTGATAACTTTTTCCATTTAGACCCAAGTAACCTACTAATGAAGGCCAAAGGATTTTTATTTTGGATAAGGACTGTCCCAATCCCTTCCTTAGAAGCATCTGTTTCAATCTCAAATACTAGAGTAAAATCAGGTATTGCTAGCACAGGTGTTAAATTCAAGGCCAGCTTTAAAGAGGTCAGTTAGAGGTTTGTTGAACATGGCATAACCTTTGATAAATCTCCTATAATAGCTAGCTAGCCCTAGGAACCTTTTCAGTTCTCTTGCTGTTATAGGGATTGGCCAACATGAAATAACATTGATTTTACTTGGATCTGTTTCAACCCCTTTTGCAGAATTGAAATTCACCAAGTACTCTACCTTGTCACTTGGAAATATACATTTATTGAGTTTGGCATACATCTTGTTATGCTTCATCAGTCCAAAAACTTGTCTCAGATGATTCCAATGTTCTTCCTTAGTTTTCCTATAGACAAGTATGTCATCAAAGGAGTTTGAGGGATAGTGCTTTCTGGACATCTTTGAGGTCCTGAATCCCCAGTCCACCATCTTGAAACGGCCTGCAAATGGTGTCCCTCCAGTGACGTTTTGGTTTTCCTTCCCTGAAACCCCACAGAAAGTTGCTCATTTTGGAGTGGAGCAAGTGGGTCACTGATTTTGGAAGCTCGCTGATTACCACATGGTGAAGGGGGATAGAAGAGAGGATGTGTTTGATATATATATAGAGTTTGGCATACATCTTGTTATGTTTCATCAGTCCAAAAACTTTTTGGACACACGCACATACATACATACAAACTCGTCTGGACTGTGTTGTAAACAGAAGACAATAATCAAATCAACCTTTTTCCCTCTCTCTCTAAAAATATCTTCTCTCATTTTCCCTCGCCTTCAAAGCATCATTTTTTCTTTACCATTTCTCGGATCTTCATAGAAAGCTCATCTTGATATATCATTGCTACCTTCTTTTGATTGCCAAGAAGTCAATCATAATGGTTTGCAAGGCCACGGAAGTGCTTGCCTAAATATAAATTTACAAATGTGTACTCCATTTGTCTTATTTTAGGTTGTACGGAGTATATTGTTTTTACGATGTTTGATTGAAACTATTTTCAAATGAATTTATATTAAAAGTTGGGTAGAATTAGAAAATAATATTAATATATTTAAAAACTACGTCAAAAAATTTATAAAATAAAAGGTTATAGAGTTTTATTATTTTATAAAATAAGTAGCAAATAAAAGGTTATAGAATTTTATTATTTTAAAGTTTGATCATGTGAATAGTAAACAAGCATTTTAAATTGTGATTGAGCAAGTAACATATGCTTCCTCTATCCCAAATCAAATTATTTATTTACTATTTACAAGATTAGACTTTATTTACTTTCTTTCTCTAATTTCGGAGAAAGAAATTAGAGAAAGAAATTATTTGTCACCACTAATTTAATAGATATTTTGATTTAGTAATTCAATATGTAACTATTATTTTTTATTCTACACTATTTTTCATATAAATTGATTTGAAAATAATTTCAGTTAAACATCGTAAAGCGAAAGAAGCACAATTTAAAATTTAAAATATAAAATTTTAAATTTAAAGTTTAAAATTATTAAGTATGTGTTGTAACTATGGAGTGATAAAAATAAAGAAAAATAATGTTTGAGACAAAAATATTAATTTTGAAGTAGATATTTTCTAATCAAATTTATAAGCATTGGAAAGATCTTTAGAATAAAAATTTAGCGCTATATCAACTTTAAAATTCTCTAACTTTTTATCTGGAACACTATTCATAATTGATCTGATTAAAATATACACACTTTATTTTTCATTTTTAATAGATTTTTGTTTAAAATCAACATGGAGGGGGTAATTATAATGCATTCAAGGCATTTTCATTATTTTTTTAATTAATTAGCAACTCATACTTAATAATTGTCTTGTCATCATTTAAAATGCCATATATTTGCAACTTGGAGTGTTGGTGTACAATTTTGTAACTTTTGAGAGCAATAGTGTAAATTGTTAAATTTCATAGTATTAACATAAAATCACAAATTTTTTGGAGTATTCGTGTAAATATTTTATTTTTTAACGTTCTGCCAATATAGCTAGGGTTAGAAAGATCTCACCAAGATTAATCTGATAAAATTATTTTTACACTAATATATATTACTACGTACAAGTTTTGTTTAAATTATAGCTCAAAGTTCATTTTATTTTACTCGAAAAAGTCAAACTGATGAACAAATATATAGAGACGGAGGGAGTATTTAGTTATAATGTAATTTCATATAATTGGATATATTTTAAGATATAGTTTTGTTATATCAAAATTTTATAACATTTTTATTTTAGAATCATATTAACTTTGTGATCAAAGATACTACAAAAGTCAAACTAAGATGACTATTTTAGACCAGAGGGAGTATACATAATAATACACTATAACCCCGCTATTGACGACCTTGCCTTTAAGGTTGAAATGCTGGATATTGAAATGTGATACCTTCAACCAATTCCCATAAAATGATTAAAATCGAGTGTTGGCCAAATTATTGCGCCTAGTGGTCCTGGATACATTCAATGGCTAAGGCATTTGGTAGTATGTATTGCACCTTGCAACCAAGGAGTTATGGGTGGTTGTATTGGTAATATCCCTCCAAAAGGTTTCAAAAGTGAAACGTGGAAGATATTATGATTTTTTTTTCAAAATCCACTTTTCCAATCATATCCCAGAATGAAAAGATCCATAGTACTAGGCAGTTCGCTTCTCATTACTCATATTCCTTATAATGGCCTTTGTAAGGTTAAATTTTGAGCCATACACAATCTCTCGCATGAAAATTTTTTATCAGTTTAATGGGAACCAACCAGTTGCTTCTTCATATTTTTACCCTCTTGAGGTGAAATTTGAGTTGCATGATTATATCTTCTCATTTTTGTTGGGATCTATTCGACCGTTCAACCTTAGATTTTCGTCACAAATAACAAAGATGGATAGGGGGTGTTAAATATATATTGTATATTTAATATATTTTATGTATATTTGGCAGATTCCCTTGTATAGAAGGATTGCATTTATATCCTACCATAATTAGGAGACTTGTATCTTGTATATATTCGTGGTTTGACCTCCGAGATTAATACAGAAATTCATTATACTTCTTGAAACCATCCAAGAAGTATTTTTAAGGCACCATTGATCCTTGGTGTAAGAGTAGACTTTTTAACTCAAATTTATCACATATTCTTTTAAACTCTTTGTTTGACACAATGTATTGAATTCCTCAATAACATTATTGTATATACCTTTGAATCTAAGACACCTGTGGACAATGAATTCTTCCCATTCACATTAGCTCCATATTTCAGCTTTTCGTTTCAAATATATTACAACTAGATTCACTTTCCCATTTTTTTGTTATCAAGAACTTTGCGCAATGAAAAATATCTTTTTTATTCCTTAGCTCATTCTCACGGATTAGCCCCTTCTTTCTCACGGATTAGCACAATTTAATAAACATTGGTTTATGTTAGAAGTTCCATGCATTGTTATATGGATCTAAGGAGGTAAAAACACTCCCCCAAATTATATCATCATTCTTGACCACCATTATAATCTATCACCAGTCATAGTTTTTGTTCAAAATCCAATGTTCTAAGAAAATAGGCCACCACATTGTTCAAATATGATAATGAGAAAGCCAGTCACATCGTTTCCAAAAGTAACTCGTACATAGTGACCTTTTTGCTAATAAATCTATTGTGCTATTTATGCTTATGAATTATTCACATTTTTATCAGAATAGAACAAGACAGACAGAGAAAACATATCACATCACATGGGATGTTACATCCAATACAAGAAATTAAATAAAATCACAAGCATCCGGAACAAACCTAGACTAGATAAAAAAACATTCAAACCAGCAGACCATATTGATTCATTGGGATCACATTTTTAGTCGAAGAGAAGAGGGCATTCTAAATGCCCTTCCTCCTCAAATTTCAAATTCATGATATGGCAAT